TGGCACACTTTTCTTTTTCTTCTCCTCTTCTTTTTGTAAATTATTTATTTGTGTGTGTATGTATATGCCAAGGCAAATGAATAGAAATCAGAGGACAACTTGTGGGACTTGGTTCTCATTCCCCATATGGATTCCAGGGATAGAATTCAGATCTTTAGGTTTAGCAGCAAGTACCTTTACCTTCTGAGCCACCTTGCTGGCCCCTTCTTTCTTTCCTTTTTATGAATAATATTCCTTTGTCTATATGAGCCCCCTACATCCTAGGCAAGCGCTTTATTATTGAACTACACCCTTAGCCCTGGTTTATAGGTATTTGGGCTGCTTCCCTCTGGTGCTAATCTTAAAGAGTTATTGTGTGGCGTGTCACATGGCACTAATTTGTAGGGGGGAGCTTCATGAGTGTCTAGTTATCCATATCATCACAGACCAAGTTGCAGAGCCCTCAGGTCTCTTCTTGTTATATCCATGACAGTAAAAGGCCACTCCAAGTTAGCACCATGGAGATCTCAGTCATTATTGAGGGCTTGCACCTTCTCAAAGAACTTTCTTCTTCTCCTCCTCCTCTGTTTTCGGTTTGTGTTTCTCTGTGAAACAGTCTTGGCTGTCCTAGCTAGTTAGACCAGGCTGGCCTTGAACTCACAGAGAATGCCAGGATTAAAGACGTGCACCACTACTACCCGGCTTCAAGAACTTTACTAGAAGTGAACCACATGGCTATTCCTGTGTGTCAGGACCCATGAAAAGAAATCCATTTCATTTTGACTAAAGGTCAGAGAGTTTAAAAATGTCCTTATGTCTTATTATCTGTAAGACATTTAGTTTGGTGGCTACAGGATGTTTTGGCCCTGGCAGTGGATGTCTTATCTAAATAACAATAGGCTTGGGCCCATGTGTAACTACTCTGGACCCTGAAGGCCAGATGGCAGGTGTGGCTAGCAAACACCTGGACTATTAAGGGAAGTAAGTCTCTGCCTTCCACCCCCCCCCCCACTGCTGGTTGAATACATAAGACGCTGAAAAAATAAACTAGGCGTGCGTTCAGTATGGATTGAATCTGCTCTCCCGATAGCCATCCTGTGTCTGTCTTAGATTCTTAACCCTCTTTTAGCTAGCCTTTCCATCATCTGCACTTCCTTTTCCAGGCACGAACCTAGGGCTGCTCAGCTGGCTCTGATTGCCCCGCAAAGACAGCTCCCCACACCTGTGCGCCTGGCTCCTTTCACTTGACCCCCCCCCCCGTTATCTATTGTATTGGGTGCCTCTTTTGTGTATTCCCTGAGTGACCCAGACATTTGGGTGGCCCTGTTATATATTTGCCCCATAGTGTTTACCACTGGTGGGTACGTTTTCCTCTAAGTCATGCACTATAAACCTTGCTTGTGTGTTTGATGTGTGAGCTCAGTTCTACAGCTGTCTGGGGACACAGCTGCTGGCTACAGGCTGCCTATTTGTTTAGTTCTAGCAGACAAGCCTGCAGGAGCAGCTTGTCCACTCTGTGCACCCACCTGCTGAGGCTACATTTTTTTTTCCTTAGCAGCCCCTCCCACCAACTCTGAGAACCAGCTAGCTGACTCAACCCTTCCAGCGTGGCAAGGCCAGGCAGCACAGAGACCTGGTGACAACACAGCCTTCTTCATCTTACCTGGCCCCCTGATCCTAACAAGATTGGCCACTCTCTTGTCGGAGCAGTATATGCTGTCACTCCCTCACCCACCTGTGCCACTGAGTCCTTTAGCACCTCCAAAGGGCTCCTCCACCCAGCCTAGGCCTGAAATCATGTGAAATGCCACACCCAGCATCCAGTGTGCTCATGGCTGGCTATGGGGACGATGACACAATCCAGTGTTTGGGAGCACCCCTTTAGATCGTGTCCCTGTAGTGAGGTCTGTCCTGCTCCATGGAAGCCCAAGCTTCTGCTTCACCACAGAACATATGCTGGTGTGGCCTCTGCTGGGTAGCTGGCCCCTGGCCTTTCTACTCACAGGACAGAGGAAAGCCAGGAGAGGAAGGCATGTGTGGGACAGTCAGGTACTCCAGTCCTGCAGTCAGGCCTTGGGTGACTAGGGTTGTAAGGCGGGGACATAGGCACATAGCATACATCAAGTTCACTGGGGATAGTGCAGACAGGCATTGAAGGTGGACCATTGGGGAGAGGGTGGAAGTCAGTTTTCTGACTGTGGCAGAGGTGGTTGCGTGGTGCGATATGGAGACAGGCCAACATCATGTCTTCCTCAGTCATTCTCTACCTCACACTTTTGAAACTGGGTCTCTTACTGAATCTCAAACTCAATGGCTCAGCTAGGCTGACTGGCTGGCCCGAAAGCTCCACTGGCCTGTTTCTGCTATCCCAAGTATTGGGATAAAGTGCTAGCATGCCACTGTGCCTGGCTCTGTATGTAGGTGCTGGGGGGCTCTAACTCAGGCCCACATGTTTATGTACCAGACATGTTACCTATGAAGCCACTTTAGTTTTGACACAAGTTCTCACTACACAGCTTAGGCTGGCCTGAATCTATGTAGCCTACACTAGCCTTCAGTTTCAGACCTTCCTGCTTCCGCTTAGAGACCTGGGATTACATTAAGTGCCAACATGCTTGGTGATCATCTCTGGTCTCTTTTCAGACAAATTAAATTTGCCTATTGGAGACACCCCTGGGAAGAAGCAACGGATGGCTAGGTGCTGGCCTACAGCCTACTAGGACCCTCTGGAGAGTGGCAGGGTCTTGGGTGTTTCAAATAGGATTTTACAGAGGGTAGTGATGTTGTCTTGGCAAAGTGCAGTGGTAGGGCTGGTTGTCACAGTCGGTGAGAGTGGTACTACTAGGCCCTGGCCAGGGACACCGGTTCTTCACAATAAGTGGGATAGGCCCGCCCTGTGTGACAGACTCAGGCCTCATGGTCAAGCACAGAGTGAGATGCCAGTCTCCGGGCGTCCTGGCCCTGAATGGGGCCTTTCCCCACTTCCCCTCCATCCCCCCCTAAATACACAGCAAGGCCAGCCTTTGATGAGTCACTTACAGTTTATTTTTGCCTGAAAGTATTTCACATCTCTTTGTACACAGCTACGTGACAGTATTTATTATTAACCATCAAGAAAAGCAACAGTGCAGGGGACGGGGTGGGGTATCTTAATTCTTCTTCTTTTTTTAATCTTTTTGAATGTTTTTTCCTTTTTTTTTTTCCTTTTATTTTTTTATTTTTCTTTTTTTTTTTTTTTTTTTTTTTCTTATTTATTTTTCTGCTTCTGCTTCTTTCTGCACCAGGGTGCTATGAAGCACGGAACCGGGGTTGGAGTTGGGGAAGAAAGCAACAACAGAAATCAACAGAGAAACAAACACAAAACGGAACTCACTCCACACACACACAGGCACACACACAAAAGAAACCTGCCATGGAAAGTGAATTAAGACTGAGACTGAAACCCAAAGTCTCCGTTTTTTTGTTTTGTTTTGTTTTTTGTTTTTTTGTGTGTGGTTTTTTTTTCTTTTTTAAAAAAATGAGGGCATAGTTGGGGGGGGGGTAATAAAGTCTACCTGGCAAAGTATAAAACAACTAAAGCATGGTTTCCATCGAATAAGATTAAATAGATATAAAACAATTAACATCGACTGGTGAGTTTGGTTCGGAGGTGCCAGGGAGGGGACATATTTGTGCTAAACAAACAGAAAAGGGAAAGAGAGGGGACCCCAAAAGAATTGTCAAAGGGCTGTTCTGTACAGTGAGGGCTTGGCAAGAAAAAGCCAACTGTTTGTAAAAAGAAATGAGGTTGGTCTGCCACGGGGCACATGGGTGAGGGGATGCCGCAGTGATCACATTAGTGGAGAGGAGATATGGACAGTCGGGTCGGGCTGGCTGGGTGACAGAGCTCTTCTCTCCCAAGAGACCATGCAAAGAGGTGGGCATGGGGCATGCGTGAGGGAACCATGGGGTGGGGAGACTACAGGTCGCAAGTCTCAGTAGGGGACAGGGGCAGCTAAAGAGGGGTGGGGATGGCAGCAGGATCTTGGAGGACCAACTCTTCTATGGGGTATACAGGGGGGGGGGAAGGGTCAGGACCCTTCCAGATTTACAGAAGCAGCAGAGGGGAGGAGTGAGCTATAAGGAGGACCCTATCTCCTTCCTCCTCCTCCCCCTGCTTAATCCCCACCCATAAGGAAGCTGGAAACAGCTGGAAATAATACAGAGTAGCAGGTGGGCAGACTGATGGGGACAGCATTAGCATACAGAGTCCGTTAAGAAAAAAAGCAATTAATTTTCCAAAGGTCTTTTTTTTTTTTTTTTCTCTCTCTGTTGTTTTGTCTGTTTGTTTCCTTTAAAAACCAAAACCAAAACCACTAGCACTAACCCGACAGCTGACTGGTCCAGACAGTACTACACGCCAGGGGGCAGGTGGGGAGGGAGGGCTGGTCAAAGACTTCATAAATAAGAGCGGGTCCCAGACCCGCAATTTGTCAACATTTCTTAAATAGGTGCGTTATTTAAATCTTATGTACAACAAGAACCACTTTGCATAGCGATGGTGGGGACACAGGACGATGGGGTGACATGACTGGTTATTCCTGTTCCAATGGTAGGGGCGAGATATCGGCTCAGTGCACCTCCAGGAAGAAAAAGTATCCTCCTTCTGGCCCGAGTCGATGGCATCAGGCTGGATGAATGCCCCCACACATGGCATCACACAACAAAGGCAAAGAAAATCCACACAGGGATCCCCGCCCACCCCTCCCTTGCCCTCCCTACCCACTGTTTCTCCTCTTGTTGCCACCAAGGCCGCTTTTGATCAAGGTCAAAGGTTCCAATATGAAGCTCTAAGAATTAGGCGGGGGCTGGGCGTGCTGAGGATCCCCTGCCCCTCCCCCCTCCGCCCCCCAAGACTCCCCCATCTATCCCGCAGCCAGGTGCTGGGGGCCACCCTGGGACCCACTGCTCTACGGCTATTAGTCAAGAGTCGGTTTTTTTTGTTTTGTTTTGTTTTTTTGTTTTTTTTTTTTTTTTGTGCAACGCCATCCTGTGCACTCAGGGGGCTTTTCACCAGGCTTCTGTGTAGCGGACATCCACCTCCTTCAGATTAGGAAGTTTGGCCTGCGGGTGATAAGAAGGTACCTGGTCAGACACAATCATTCTGTGTGTCTGTCCTACCACCCACACCCTCTCCATTGTGAGGCTGTGGGCTCTCAAGGCTCTGGAAGGGGCTGGTGACCTTAAACAGAGCACGGAGCAGATGGCCCCAGAGATATTCCAGTGGCTGCAGAAACCGCAGGTCTCTGTGGAAGCATAATTGCTGTGTGAGACTGGACTACACATCCGGCAGCCTGAGACTTGTTTTCTCATGATTGCAGCTAAACTGAGCCCTGTCCTTGGCACCGAGGTGGCATTAAGGATTAAACATGACGTTCTTGGAGAGTCAGTAGACTATACATTCTTAGGTACCTTCCCATTGTTAAATGAGAATGGGCACAGTGGGTGAGAGACAGGGCAGCACCAGAAACTGGCCTGGACCCTTTCTCCTGGGTTCCTCTGCCCTTAAACTGAAATATGGTTCCACCTGAAACTTTTATTATTACATTTATTTATTTGAGACATAGCCTCATGTAGTCTAGGCTGGCCTCAAACAGCTATGAAGCTAAAAGTGACCTCCTACTTCTAATTGTCTGCCTTCAGCTCCAAGTGATGGAATTACAGGCATGCACTACCTCATCTGGTCTCTATGGAGCTGCGCACGGAACACAGGCCTTTGTGCACACCAGGCAAGTGCTCGAGCAACTGAGCCCATCTGCAGCCCAATCCAGTTGTAAGATCTTTCTCAGGCCCTGCCCTCTGTTCCTGCTGCCTGACTATTCTCTTGAAAGCTTTGGCCTTCACTGTACAGAAGCATCTGTCTCATTAATGGTCTCCTTCCTGTACTTCCTGCCTACCTAACATCCCTTACACCCACCAGCCCTATTCAGTAATACACACATACTTCCAAGCACATCTATACACACACATACAAAGGTAGCCTGCTCATTGCCTCTGTCTGTGCCCAACAATCTTAACGGCTTCTTCTGCCCAGGCAGAAGCTGCAAGCTGGGGGCCTGTGGTCATCAGTATGAAGCTGGGAAACATCTTCAAGCTATGCTTGCCAGTCTAGGAGGCTGTACAGAAAAATACAGATGTTAGGTTCTTTTGAAAAAACAGCACAGATGGGCCAGACTGTATACTGAATTATGTAGATTTGCCTGTCTGGCATTTAGTGCAAACATCCTCCTTCAAAAAGTCAGGTAGTTCCCAGGTGTCCCAGGAGATGAAAGATGGAGGTTGGTCAAAAACTAGCATCACTGGGTTGGTACCATAGCCCTCTGGGGTGTAAAAAATAAATATGGGGCTAGTCAGATGGCTCAGCAGGTAAAGGTGTTCACTGTACAAGCCTAGTGACCTGAGTTTGATCCCTGGAATTCACAGAAAGGTGAAGGAGAGAATGAACTCCACATAGTTGTCCTCTGAGCTGTGTTCATGGCATGGCCAGCAGACACACACTCTCTCTCTCTCTCTCTCTCTCTCTCTCTCTCTCTCCCTCTCTCTCTCTCTCTGAGTTCAGTTCTTAGCACCCATGTCAGGTGGCTCACAATCACCCGTAGCTCCAGCTCCAGGGGATCTGATGCCTTCTGAATGCACCCATACGCCTGTGACTTTCTGTATCCTCCTCTCACAAAATGAAAAGAAAAATGTGACTTTTCCTCATAAGCAGTCGCTCCTACTCCCCTCTTCCAATTGATTTCACTGGCACTGTGGTTTTGGAGAACTGAGGTTCAGGACACTGTGAGGGCTATGCTTCTCACACTGCAACACATAGGTGCCCCCCAGTGTGCTGGTATGCAAGTGTGCAAATGCGCAGCTGGCAGCTTCAAGTCTCGGAGGCCACACCTATTTCAAGCCTGACTAATGCTGAGAGCACTGGTCTGTAGAGGCACCCTGAGTGTCTAGCTGTATAGTTGAATCCTTATCCCTCCCACTCACTGTGGTTTTACACACACACACACACACACACACACACACACATCACCCCCGGTTATTCCTAAATTCTGTGCCTTCTGGGACTCGTGACGTTCACACATCATGGCAGCTGCTGTTTGGCCTGGGCTTGGCAGGTGCTACATCCTGGCAAAGGAGGACCCTGACCAAGAGTTCCAGGGGACCCTCTGGTAGTAGCTTTCAGGATGTGGAGCTGTCTCTGGGACCTAAAGCTGGAAGCGCTGAAGGCCCTGCCTCCACTTCCTTAAGAAACTCGTCCATGTTTCTGATGGATGAAATGCCCCAGCTGCCACACTCAGAGCCTCCTCTTGTGCCCGCCAGTTGCAGGCCAGGCCCTAGAGGGCCTGCATCAGCCCTGGTTCGCTTCTTCCCTGGATCCTGATCCCACAAGTCATCTCCCAAACAACAGCCAGGTTTTTAAAAGTAGGACTTGGTACCCCACCAAGAGCACCAGGGGTGTTCTGAAAAAAAAAAAAAAAAAATCCCAGCGAGGACTTCTATCAGCTCTATCTGTCTCACTCCAGCTGTGCTTGCTGTGGTCAGGGCCTGTCTGTCTTTTCTGCATACACCTTCCACCTGGGACTCCCCAGGCTTCTTCTATCCTTTGGATTCAATGTGGCCTCCCCATGTCATACAGAGCCCTGACTGGCTTCCTTTGTCGATCTTCCCTCACCCCTACCCATCTTTGTCTATTCCCGATATACCAGTCCTTGTGCTGGAGAAGCAGCTCTAAGGGTGGCCAGGGAGGGAGAGGGTCAGCAGGGAGGGCTTACCTTCAGATCCTCGTAGGTGTCAGCCGAGAGCTTGGTGCTGTTCATATTTAAACTGCAAAGACTCTTCATGGCTGGTTAAGAACAGACAGACAGACAATGAGACCACACAGAAAAACTATGGCAGGATGGGGATACTCAAACTGCAGGCTACTCTCAGTGTGGATGGTTAAGGGGCTGGGATGGTTGTAGGTTTAGCCATGGCAACCACCAGCTAGTCCATTTCACGCTCTGGGGTCCAGAGCTGGGTATCTTCTTGGTCCCTGACCTCTGACCTCCTCTCCCCTTCAGATCTAGCCCTGCCCCTGGGGATCCTAAATGCTCCCTGGCATTGCTGGCTCAAATCTCTGACTTTTGGTCTCAAGAGCAAACATCAAGTCGGGCTTCATGTCGGAGCCATACAAGTGCTTGCCAGAGACATATCCAAATGCTTTTGTTGAGATGCTGAGGGGGAGGGGACAGACCAGTGGGGGGGGTCTGCACTGTTAATTAGACCCACACACCCATGTGTTGGCCATTTCACAGCTGAGTCACGAGGTCTCTTGTCTAAGGTAGCAAGTTAGAAAACAGGGAACTGTGAAACATGCAGATTCCCAGGCTCAATGCCCCCATGATCAGGGAGAGCTCTGTGGAACCAGTGTCCTAGCCCGCTCCCCAGGCTCCTGCTACCAAATGCTTCTCAATCTGGACAGGCCCAGGAATGCTTCGGGACCCAATAGCACAGAGGCTGATTCTGAGCAGCTAGCAAGGCTGGAGCTTCTGTGACACCAGTGTTACTGTGAAACCAGTGACAATGCTGCCCTAGAAAACTTTATAGTGGTTTATGATGGCTGGATGGAAGGCACCGGCCAATCTTACAAATTTCCCCCTCTCCTCTACATTTCTAGCTCCGAGAGCAGGGACACCACCCTTCTGCATGTTCCCAGCACCTTGCCTGTGCCAGTATGCAATAGGTCTGCTACAAACTGGTTATTAATGAACTGCTTGCTTCCTTCTCAGGGTGTTCAGCTGGGGGTCAGCCCACCTGCAAAAGGTACTCACAGCTGAGGGCCAGCAGGCCAGCGTCGGTGACTGGGGTCTCACACAGGTTCAGCACCTGGAGCATAGTGAGGTGTTCCGACAGGAGCCGCAGGCCGGCGTCTCCAAACTGTGGGGCACATGAATTCTTAGCCTCACCAGACCCAAGGGAGGGGACCCTAAGGCTGGGTAGGAGTGGGAGATGGTGGGATCTAGCTATGAGGCCATGCCCTATCTTCAGAGTCACACATCCCTTTGTCCCGAGTTCAGATCTAGTTTCTGACCAGGATATAGGCCAGGCAAGGGAACCTCTATGAGAGTCTGAACCCAGGCTCCAAAGACTAAAGGCAGCACCTGGTTGGCCTTTTCAAGAGGCACAAGGGCCTGTGTGCCCCAAAGGACTAGGCCAATGGTACCACACAGGCACCCAGCAGACTCCAAGAGAAATCTCATGTACTCCTCCCTGGCAGGCCAGAGAGAGCTAAGGTGAACTCTCAGCCCTCTGTATCCCAACTCGCCCTAGGCTTTAGTGTTCCCAACTGGGAAATGAGCTGCCAAGTAGCATGAGGCCCCCAACCTCCTCCTGTCTGGGCAAATGGGTTAGGGCTATGCGTGCAGAGCCAGTGGCTGGGCCCATGAGATCTGGACAGACAGATCTGAGTATGGGGGTGGGGGTGAGAAAGAGGAAGGGGCATGGGGCGTGGGCGGGGCGGCACCTGCGTGGACCACAGATTGAGCTGCTTGAGGGAAGGCAGTTTGATGAGGTGCTCGGCGCAGGCACTGGTGACGTTGGTGAAGGCCAAGCTGAGGTTCTCCAGGTTTCCAAAGGAGCCAGAGCTCAGCAGGCGGGCCAGGTCCGCATCCTGCAGTGGGTGGCATGATGCTCAGGGTAGGCCGGGGCATCTATCAGGAGGGCCTCATGCCCTGTCCCCCTGCCTTGTCTGTAGCCAACACCGTCTCTGACCACACCGAGGACCTCGTGTCCCAGGAGCTGAAGGGTGGTGGCTTGGCCTGTGGTGTGACTCACAGCTTGAGTCATGGCTGGGCTGCAACCAAGGCCAGCACCCTCCCAAGCAGAGCATGCACATGTATATGTGTGGTGTGCCTGTGTATGTGTGAGCGTGCAGATGCATGCACACCCCCTGGCCAGCAGGTCCTGTGGGGTTTCCTTGTGAATAGCCAGTTGCCACCCTCAGCCCCAAGCCAGCAGAGAGCCACACATGCCGCATGCCCTGGACTGAGGGTTTTGTCTTTGACTTTTAGCTGTCCCCTGAGTTACAGCTAACTTCCCAGCCTCCTTTGCAGCTAATTATGGCCTGAATATGGACAATGAGATGTAAATGGAACTTCTAAGTAGAAGAATCTCTAAGGGAAGGGCGGGTTGTACCGTGCCACTTCCTCCTTCCTTGCCGGCTGGGATGGAGCCACAGTGGCTGGTGCCTGGGCAGGCTTCCTGGTCCATGAGCAGGGAGCCATGCCTTGAGGGCAGTGGGGTATCAGCAAATTAGATCCCCAAAGACTTTGGAAAGTGGGAAAGTGGTGTGCAGATCTCATAGTGTTATAAAAGTCAAATAGAATAACAGTCCAGTGCCTATTAGCTATTGTTACCATGGTTACTAGCAACCCTTCGGTGATACTGCTGATGTCACCAGCAATCTTTTGTCTTTTTTGAGGTGCTGGAGACTGAACTTGGAGCCCCCACAAATGTTAAACTGGGTGCTCTACCCATGAGCTACAACCCCAGCCTCAGTATCAAATGCTTTAGCATAACATCTTAATTCTGCTTGGTTTTCGTTCCTTTCCCTTCAGTCCTCCTAGAAGAGCTGGCCCATCTCCCTTCCCATGGTCATTCCTTCTCTCCCCTCCTGGTCAAACCTCAGCTGGACAGATCACCTCCCTGCTCTGTCCACCTTGTCCCATACCACTCCACCCCTGCAGAGACTAAAGCCTACTCACCGTGGACTTGGAGGGCAGTGTTAGCCTGGTGGGCCCGCCTTTCCTTTGCTGCAATAGGAAGGAGACCAGTTGAATCACATGCCCCCTCTGCCACCAGCCTCACGAAGCCATGGCTGCTTTCTTGGGCAAGAAGGCACCATGGTGGTCACAGCACAGGCAGCTTATGGCATATGTGACAACCAAGAAACACTAGCAGATGCAGAAATGCAGGCGCTCTGATTGGGAGGGACATCACCTATCTAGTTCTTGTTGGGTTAAGCGGCACCCACTTCCATCAAGAGTCCTGGCAAATGATGGAGAAATTTTATACCAGATGTCTCATGGTAAGGATCTAGGCTGTGCACACCTTTTGTCAAGAGCCATAGTGGGTTGAGGAGGGTGGCTCCAGGGGAGAGAACAGCCCGGATGGGCCTGTGTGCACATGTGTGGAGACAGCCTCTCAGCTTGGACTAGGTGTGACAATGACACCTGGGATTCGATGAAGTGGAAGTGGGTTGTGTGACTTCAGCCCACCTGCTTTACCTCTGTGTCCATCTAGAGTCATGTGAGCAGTACAGGGAACACTCCCGGACTCTTTGGGTGCGGAGGAGCAGTCCCAAGGGGCTATCTCGTGTCCTGGGAACAGCGGGCAGTGGTGAGGGCTTACCAGCTCCTTTAGCTCCCGCTGCCGGTCACACAGCTGTTCGTACATGCGTTTGCCCACGTCTGTGCTCTCCAGCGTGGAGATGATCTGCAGCTGGGTGTCGTTGTTGTCGATGATGTTGTACTCCAGCATCAAGCACAGGATCTGCCAGGAGTCACAAGGGCGTGTGAGGGAGTGGCCCTCCACAGGACCTTGGCACATGTTGTTCCCAAAATTTGGAGTACTCTGCCTTTGTCCCCATGTTCATGTCTCAATCCTACCTCCAGGGAAATTCAGGCTTTTCCCAACAGACCAGTGGATTCTCTCCTGTTCCTCCCTGTAAGGTGGAATCCTGTTCACACCCCTTTGACTGACAGGCAGCTTGGTGATTGCTTTTAGAGGGTAGAATGTGGCAAGGTGGTGCTCCCCAATTCTGACAGCTATTATAAAATCCTGTCGCTCATGGGACAGGCGCTCTAGGAGTGTCTGGCTCTGGGGGACTTCGTGGAGTAGTAGGGAGGAGGGGACTGAGGAAGAACAGTTATAAGTGGCATGAGGGCCTTGGGCTTGTGCTCTTGATAACTGCGCGGTGACCCTGAAGTCACACAAAGCAGAGAGAAGCTGGGGCTGCCTCAGTCCCACACCTGCCTTGTCCACACCACCTGCACCTCACAGAGATCCTGGGTGAGGCCACCCATGCCAGGGCCTCACCTCTGCCATGGTCTGGTTCCCTCTCAGTGCCAGGAGCATGCAGGGGCCCAGCTTGTTTTCCGCCAGCGAGAGCAGAAACTTTTTGGTCTTGTAACAGGAGCCCATGAGGATGTGCACCTGGGAGGCAAGAAGACACAGGTGAAGGGACCAGAATACCACTGCAGTGCCATGACCCTCAGTGCCAGCCCCCTGTGGACAGGGACAGGTGGAGAACCTGAAGACGGTGACCCTCCCCGTTTGTGCCAACAGCCTGGTCTCTAGCGACCACCAGACCATCCCAGAGGACAGAGAATGAGACATGTTGAGTCTGCACTGGGACAGAGTGCAGGCAACAGGCACAGTCACCCAGACAGGTGAGACAGTGGCCACTGGCGTGGTCTAGGGGAGCAGAGAGCATGAAACGGCACAGAGGTAAAGCTGGCGGACAACGTGTTCCAGAGATGGTTGGTTGGCGATGATAGTAGCAGAGCTGCGTTCTGGAATGTTGGGATGTTCCTGCATAGGATGCTAACACTCACATTCTATTTCACTACAGAAAAAAAGGACCCCCACCCCCTGCTCCCTTTGGGTGCTGCTGGTACTTCGTCCTGTGAATTCCTAGCATTGAGGGTACCAGGTAGAAATTTTTAGGCAGTCCTTGCTAGGTGGGAGAACAACAGGTCTGACTCATGTGGTAGCTGGGCTGTTCTGTGTGCCCTGCTTCCTCTGCGTTACCAAAAGATGTTCTGAGAGGTCACCCAACCCACCCAGCAAAGCCTGCTACCTCCTGAGATATGTTGGAGGGGGTGTAGCTTGTGTTTATAGAGGTAAGGGAGACCAAACACCCTGCAACTTGATACAAGAGCAAAGGCCTTGTGGAAACGGCAGTGTAATCCAGGGACCACTTCTTGCCATGGGTCTCCATGGAAACAACACTTTTCTATCCTCATGGCTGCTTGCTTCCTTCCCCCGTCTATATATTCTTCTGTCCCATCATTAACAACTCTGGCATACAAATGAAGTCACTTGGGTGGGAGCTGGTTCCCTGTGTCTCTTCTCACATTGAGTCTCCACATGAAGGGTGGGGGAAACACTGAGCATTGTCATGGTGAAGTTATGACATCAGAGGAAGCCAGAGAGGCGATGGTAAGGGACATGTGATGCAAGCAGGAAGTCCAGCATGTTTCTAGGTACATGGGATATTCAGAAAGCAGGTTCAGGGCAGCAGGCCAGGGGTTTGGAGGAGGTTCGTAAGAAAAAGGACCTAAAAATAAACCGCTTGAGGTGATGTCTCAGAGGACATGTCTATTTATCATCATTGCACATATCTCTTCCAAATTCACGGTGCTGTTGAACCTGCAAACTGGTCTCTTGTAGAGACAGGAATAACCCGAGCCACACCGGGGTCTCAGAGTCCTGGTGGCTCAGTTAATATCTCATGTCTGACACTACATACAATTGCTGTGAGGCTCTGGGGAAGTCTCCCTTGTTTTTACATATTAGGAAGCTGAAGCCCAGACAGGCCAGTCAGAACGCAATGTCAACTGGTGGAAAAGTGGGTAGTGACCTAAGGACCAGATCTAGTTGATGCTTGCATTTTCTTCATGTCACATGACCCCAGAAGAATGTGTGCTCTGTAAATGCAGTCAGGTGTGTCAGGGAAGGCTGAGGTCACTGGTCACTTGGGCAGACCTTCTGTCCTGGGGAAAGAGGAGTCTGTGTCCCTTTGCTACAGAAGAAGCCACTACCTCTGGACAGTAGCTTGGCCTACAAAGAGCTTGCAAACAGGTCCTCTCAAGTAAGCCACTGGACCTTTCCGGGCCTCTGTTGCAGTCCAGGTGTGACTCTGTGACATTGGTTCTCAAACTGTGGTCATGACTCCTTGGGGAGTAGTTGAATGACCTTTTCATGGGGGGGAAGGACATATCCGACATTTACATTACGATTCATGGCAGCAACAAAATTACAGTTATGAAGTACCAATGAAATAATTTTATGGTTGGGGGTCACCACACCATGAAGAACTGTATTAGGAAAGCTGAGAACCACTGCTCTATGGTAAGAAAGTACCAGAAACCACTGTGAATGCAGTTACTGATTCAGTGACCTCAAGCCCCTCATTATGAGGGCTGACTGAGCAGGTGCCGCTTCAGTACCTTATGGCACGCTGCATCTATCCCTTGCACAGAAAATCACCATGACAACCAAGCATGATCTTGGACCCTCAGCTGCCTGGACTGTAAAATGGAGGGACAGTGAAGGTCCTCATTTCCCAGAGCATCACTGTCTGGGTGCATCAGGTTCTTGGCTCGAGTAAGTAGGGATAAGTGACACGCCCCCTTTGGTCACCTCTCTTGTCATGGCTGGCACTGTGCTGGCCAGAAGACTTGCAGACAGGCCACATAGTGCGCTGGCTGCTATGCAACTCAGAATGGAACAGCCCAATGCCCACCAGCAGCTTCTTGTGGGGACCCCATGTACCATGCTGGCAAACAGCTCCCCATCATCATCACAGGCCACCCCTCCAGGGCTGTAGAGCTGGAACCAGCCATCCTTGCCGGCCCGCACGCTCAGCAGGCACGAGTGGACCTGTGGGCAGAGGACAAACACATCGTCAGTTCCAAACAGACTCAGCTACAAAGGAAATGTGAAATGGTGTTGACAAGCCAGGCAGTCAGGAAGTGCACAAACTTCCTTTAGCTCTACAACCACTGGCCTCCTACTAAGTTCCACAGGCCTTTGGGGAACATAAGGGCCCCTACACTGTGGAAGTTCAGCCATGTGCACTCAGCTCCTTAGGACAGCCACAAGACCTACCTAGCTGGGAAAAGCTGAGGAAGAGAAGGCTCTGGCTTCCCAGGGCAGAGCAGCCCCAAACAGGCCCTGTTTCTATGTCTTTTTGTGTTTCCTTCTGGGCGGGCCACTTCCTCTCGCTTCTGCCTGGGTCTCTGTTGTCTGTGTGATTAGGGCTCTCTCTTGCTCTCTGCCCCTCCCTATCTGGGGTCTATTACTAACCCCAGGCTTGGGGTCTTTTGCCTTCTTCTGCCCCATTCCCCACCTTTCCTGTGTGGGCAGTTCTCCCTCTAGGCCTGTCCTAGCAATCTCCAGCTCTCTCCAACCCCGAGATTCTCTTCTGGGGGAGGCTCACCTTCACCTCCATGTCTGTCCATCAATCTTTCTCTACTGTCTAGAGTGGGGACAATGTTAGGGCACAAAGAACAATTCTTCCATCCCTTACCACAGCACATGGGTACACGTGTCTGCGTTTAGGAGGGATTCCACATCCGCACCCACTGTGATCCCACACGTATGCGCGCGCGCGCGCACACACACACACACACACACACACACACACACACACACACACCTGCTCTTTATGCCCTCCCACCTACTCCTCAGAAGCAGACTGTGAGTAGGGACTGATCGTTAACTTGAGGGTGAGGGTCAAAGCTACTGAGTCATTGGTGCACAGATACGTCTATCACAGACCCACAAACAGAAAGCAAAGACAGTGAGTCTCCACGTGGCATGGAGACACTGCTGCCTGCCTGCCTCTGGTTAGCCAAAGCAACAGTCAAAGACCACACCTGGTTGCCTGCACACAAGGTGTTTGCGCACAAGGCCAGGAACCTATAAAATTCATACTAAGGATCGACAAGGTGGCCTCTGCAAGGAGATCTAAGAGGCTCCCAAACTTTTTTTTTCCTACTATAGAAAAAAGAAAAAGGCTTACTTCCTGTCTTGGATCCTCTGCAAACCTCTGAATCACGTACTTCAGCTCCCTGGAAGGAAGAGGATGGGTCATTCTGCAGGCCTGAATGGACATGGTGGGGGTGGGGTGAGGTGGGGTGGGGTGAAGTGTGGAGATGGGTGAAAGGAAGGCCAGAAGCAGGTGGGGGTAGACAAGGTAAGGCACATGGGACATTTCCTAGCAGGGATTGGATGTGTGTCACAGGGGACTATACAGGAGGAGCCTGTGCAGCCTCCCAACGTGCATGTGGCCCAAAGAATGGGCAGAAGGAGGCTGGCGGTGTCAAGGGTGTGATGGTGACGCAGAGCAGGGGACACCTGCAGCAGGAGAAGGTGAGGTGCGTGCCTCTGGCATACTCACTTGGTGAACTTCTCATGTGCGAGAGCTCTGTACCAAAAACAGAGAGACAGGCAGTTAGAGGCCTTTGATGTGCAATGATCACATTTCCTATGGGGAATCTAGACTTTAGCTCTGACTAGAAGAATGGCAGACACCTTGTCCCTCCTTTGACAGGGTGAGGATCACAGTAACATGAATAGGCTGAGCCCCCAGTGTCCCCAAAGCCATCAAACACCAGGCCCACACCAGTCAACTGCAGAGGCGCTAAGTGGGTGCATGAACGTGAAGGCACACGTGGGCTCCAGGGACCCAGGTGTGTTTGTTAATTGTTCCACAATTAAGGCAAGGCTGCACTAATTACCAGCACACATTGCCAGGCAATCAGGGACCATTCTTCCAAGTGAATTGCATCATGGGCCACTGTCAAACGGGTCCCAGGGCCTGTGGGGACAGCTGCTGCAGCCAATGATGCCACAGACAGAGAAGGCTCTGAGGAGTCAGATTTCTCTGGTCTCCATTCTTGGGGGCCCCGAGGGAACTAGCCGGGCCAGCAAATGGGGCAATTACTGGTGTAATGTCCCCCTCCAAGGAGCTGCATTCATAAACACAGACCCACTAATGGGCTCTGCAGAGAGCCCCAAGTGCCTCCCAAGGCCCAGCAGCTTCCAATCTGTCAAAAACAGGCCTGCCTGCAGGCATGTGAGGCCTGTGGTTCAGCTGAAGTTCTGTGCAGGCTGTGACCCACCACACAACAGTTTCCCATGATGCATTCCATGTTAGTATGAGGGTGGGTGAAAGAGAGACAGACGATCCATTTCTGGCCACATTCAGAATGTGGTGTGAGCTAATGGCCATTAAGGTGCAGAAAGTGCAGCGAGCCTTCCCCGGCACAGCCTGGAGAGTGAGCCCAGGGCACTGTGCATGCTAGGTGCTCTCCAGCCTTCCCTCCCTTCTTTTGCAGACAGGGTTTTGCTGTGTCTCTCAGGCTAGCTTGGAACTGTTAATTGCAGCAATGGTTCTCAACCTATGGGTCACAACCCCATTAGGGTGAATGACCCTTTCACATCCCACATACCAGATATATACATAGTAGCAAAATTACAGTTATGAACAAATAATATTATAGTGTGTGGTGGGGGGGGTCCACCATAACCTGCAGCACTGTATTAAAGGGTCATAGCATTAGGAAGGCTGAGAACCACTGATTTACAGGCATGTGCTGCCATGCCTAACACAGTAGTATATTAACTGTCAATTTTTACTGTTCCCCAGGGAGGCAGGGTATCACTGTTCTCACCTGGTGCATAATTAAAAACTGTTAAAGTGACTATGAGCTAGGTATAGCAGAGATGGCTCTGATCTCCTCTGATTTTACTGAGTCCCTACCACAGTCTCCGTTTTTCAGACAGGCCCCCAAAGTCAGGCTACATCTCCACGTCTTGGCTGTGGGTCCCAGCAACTCCCCCTCCCCAACACACACACAAATACTGTGAGCCTCTTGAAATGACAGAACTCCCTCTCTGGTAGTTTTCCTTCCATTTGTCAGGGCATGGTAGGACTTACTCTTTGGGGAATGGAATGGGTTGAAGCAAGCTGGCCAGAGACGGTCTCCAGTCATCATAGTCGGACCTAGAATGAGAGACAAAGCTGGTGAAGGGTGGCTGCAGGGAGAGGTTTTCCACATGCCATCCTGGGTGGACATAAGATAGGAAGTGTCTGGTGTTATCACACAACATGGCTTCTGCCCCACCTACTTCAAAGACAGTGTCCACAGCACAGCACGAATCAACAAAGAACATATCCACCTCTCTCAGAACTGGGACTTTCCTGTCTCAGTTCACTGCCCTTCTGAGCCAGCACCAAGGGTGAGAGACTATTCTAGGTCTCCAATCCCTAAATCCATGTTGATGTCCCAGCTCCTCAAAACCTCAGGATGTGACATCTGGAGAGACACAGGGCCTCTAGGTTGGACACTGACCCAATCTGATTGACATGAGAAGTATGTGCAGAGAAAAGACCCAAAGGACTCAGAGAAAGGGCCCCAGGGCAGGCTAGCCCTGTCACACCTTAAACTGTCTCCTCATAACTAAGAAGACACCATAGTCCCAGCCGCATGGCCTGTGGTGGTGTCACAACAGTACTAGCACACCTCTCACTGCTGACTGATCAGACCCAAAGGGAAGCCTACAGACTGATTTAAGAAAAAACAACCCATCAACCAACCACAGCTGGGGGCATTATCCTCATCTACCAGAAACTTCTTTCTTCTTACACAGGGTCTCAAGGCCAGGGAGATGGCTCTGTGGGTAAAGATGCTTTGTCCCCAAGCTTGACAACCCAAGTTCAAATTCAAGCCACAGAATTCATGTGGGTGGAAGACGAGAAGTAACCCCGCCCCCAAACATACACTGTCCCCTGGCCTCCACGTGTATGCTGTGTCATTTGAATGCACACGTGTGCAAATACACACACACACACACACACACACACACACACACACACAAATTAGGTAGCTGAAAACCAAACCTCAAGGTAGTCTGTTCTCACAGCATGAGGTTCATCTTTTTAGTGGCTGGGCAGATGGCTGGCCCTGGGCTCAAAGCCTATTCTTGGTCCTCTTTTACATTCAGAATTCAGGTTTCCTGCCATCACCTCCACTAATGACTGTCCCACATGTCTCCCCCACCCCACACCCCACCTTCTTCTTCTAATCCCATTCAATTTTGAGATAGGGCTCTCATGTAGCCCAGGCTAGCCCCGAACTTGCTATGTAGCTGCGGATGTCCTTAAATTTCTGGTCCACCTGTCAAGTGCTGGTATTACAGACATGCTCCACTGTGTGTTGGCTTATGCCGTGGTGAGAGTGGCTAGGCAAGCACACCACCAACTGAGTCATATCTGGCCAACCGCCCTTCTTAACACTGCTGACATCCAGCCCACTCGTGTATGTTCTGTCCTTCTACCTGGGCTTCCCATAGAAATACAGCCTGCTGTTTTTTCGGCCCCAGAACAAATGCTTCCTTCTAACAAAGAACAGCTTAGATAACCCTTGGCTCTGGACTATTCCCGCCCTCCCCGCCCTCTGAATGAACTCACGATAAAGGCTTCAGGACCCAGATCACACCCTGGAAGGTTCTAAGGAAAGACCCAGATGGACAACATGGAAAAGAATTGCCAGAAGGGCCTGGCGGTGCTAGATAAGTCTTAACAGCGATGTGGCTGACATCTAGGCACGCAATGTGCCCGGTATAGGGCTCAAATTTGTTCATTTCATCTCTGCAACACCCACATGAGGAGGGAAAAAGGGAGGGACAGGATGTCTAGGCTCAGGCAGCAGAAGGTGAGGGATGTGACAGCCCGCTGCACTGTGTGTGTCTCAGAGTTCAGAGGCCCCGGGGATGCATGCTAGAAGACTCCTTCCGGGGACGGGGGAGGGTGTCATCTGTGTATGTAGCTAGCTTGCCTTCCCATGAGAGCCCCTCTACCCTTAACTGACTCATGGTCTCCAGCACATTGAAACATGACTTCCTCCTGAGATTCGTCCTGGTCAGGTGGGGGGGGGGGGTCACTGTCACTGCTTTGTAAACACAAATCCTGGAACACAGGCATCTCAGCCTTGGTCTCAGGTCACAGCTGAGCCCTGAACCCAGGATCCTGACTCCTGTCCTGTCTAAGTTCTGCCCATAGGCAGTCCAGTGCCTCACCAGAAGGTGAACAGCTCATACCTGCAGAGGAAAGTGACACCTGTTGGGTCTTTTTCTTTTTTAGTTTTACAGAGGCTGGAGAGATGGCTTAGTGGTTAAGAGCACTGACTGCTCTTCCAGAGGAGCCGAGTTCAATCCTCCAGCACCCACATGGCAGCTCACAATTGTCTGTAACTCCAAGATCTGACACCCTCACACAGACATGCATGCAGGCAAAACACCAACGCATATTAAAAAAAAAAAGTTTTACAAAATAAAAATTGGAAGCTTGGGAGGGAGGGGGTGGCTTAGTAGGTAAGAGTGCTTGCTGTATAAGCAAGAGGTCCTGAGTTTGAAAACACAGCACCCATGGGGGGGGGGGGAATCACATGCCTTCAACTCCAGTGCTGTGATGGGCAGGATAACTGGGGCTTGCTGCCTGCCAGCCTAGCTCCAGATTTAGTGAGACCCTCTCTCAGGGAACAGAGTTGGATGCACAATGTCATCCTCTGGTTTTCCCATGTGCACATGATATGCATGTGCACACCACACACATATACTACACACACGTAAAAATAGTAAGATTTGTTCTGCGCAAAAAGGCTTTTAGAGAGACGGGCGGTGGTGGCACACACCTTTAGTCCCAGCACTTGAGAGGCAGAGGCAGGCGTATCTCTTGAGTTTGAGACCAGCCTGGTTTACGAGAGCTACTTCTAGGACAGGCTCCAAAACAATACAGAGAAACCCTGTCTCAAACACCCCCCCCCAAAAAAAGGCTATTAGAGAACTCAAAGGAGATTTGGAGATTTAAGCACTCAAATCAGAATGGGGTTGAGGAAGTAGACGTGAGGCTCCTGGGGCTCAGAAACAGGGGCATGGTCCCGCCGCCATCTCAGCTGCTCTTTCTTTCTGGATGGAAGTGTGTCCCATGCAAGTCCATGGTGTCCTATACTACACCCCATCACACCCTGCTCCTCATGTCACTACTTTGAGCACCTGATGCTCCTCACACTCAGAGAGAAAGGGTGGAAAAACAGCTGTGGCCTTTGGCTTCAAGCACAGACCCTGGCTTAGCATAGACGTGCAGCAAATTATTATTATTTGGTTTTTTGAGACAGGGTTTCTTTGTATTGCTTTGGAGCTTGTCCTGGAACTAGCTCTGTATATCAGGCTGGCCTTGAACTCATAGAGATCTGCCTGCCTCTGCTTCCCGAGTGCTGGGACTAAAGGCCTGCACCACCAATGCCCAGCATGCAGCAAATTCTTAAAGACTAAAAGCTTACATAGATGGATGGATGGATGGATGGATGGGTGTGGACCCTGAAAAAGCCCTGGGCTCTCCTTATTGAAGACCCCAGGCCACTCTACCTGATCTTGGCCAACTCAGCCTACTCCAGGCTGGCCCAAAGTAGATCAATCCTGGTGTGTCTTTTGAGTAAGGTCCCTTTTCAAGGGTCTCCAGGGGAAGCTTGTGGAGACATTTCAGAGGTGGCACATTCCAATGATGCCAGAGCCTGCCTTGGGGAGCTTGTGATAACAGATAAGAACAATGCACTGCCTGGCTGGCCAAACTAACCCATATTCCCTATGGTCAGTGGCAGGCCCAGAGTTCTGAGTGTGGCTTTCCTCACCCTCACAATGTCCTGTGAAGTGCAGCTTCAATTCCACACCACATCACCTTCCCTTCCTTTTATTGTTTTTTGAGACAAGGTATGTTTATGTATCCCTGGCTGTCCTAGAACTACCTGTCTCCTGAGCAATGGAACTAAAGGCTTGTGCCACCACACTTGGCTCTATCTTCTCTTCCTTAGCTCTCATCTGGACTGCACTGCCAAGTGTTCACTCTCACCAAGAACCACGGGACAATGGGGAAAATGTCCAATTACTGAAATCTCAGACCAGCCTTTTACAAAGGGGGAAAGACAAGCAAGCTAAAGCCTAGGGTCCAGGAGCACTGTCTCAGGTTATTCAACAGGTAAAGCCGTGTCTATTCAACACTGGCTTCTTGCCACCCACATGCATGCTGAATGCCACAGTGCTCTTTTCTAAGTTGTCAAGAAATTAGGGATGTGCCTTATCCTGAGTCTTTCCCAGGATGGGAAACACCGCTACACCACAATCAGCAGCTGTGATGAACTCCCCCACACTGGGTGTCCACCTGTGTGTGGTGTCTGCTCTGGGCCGGGGCTGCAGTGGTCACCTCCCATCCTCACACTGCCTCACCAAGGCCTGGCTGGAGGGCTAAACCCAGAGAGGTCATATGACAGCTTCGTGTCGCAGACTAGTAAGTGGCACTGGGGGACATGTACCCAGCTTGGGATGACCTAAACCTGCTTTCCCCAACACAAGATACACATTGGAGCCCTCTGAACTGCAGTAAGTCTGAGGGCCTGAGGACCACAGACCTAAGAGCCAGCTTGGTTTGGGAAAGAGTTTAGAAACACTAGAAACTCTAGTGTGACCCTTCCTGGCTTTATCAGACTGTTCCAGGCCCCAGGCACGGTTCGTAACTCCTGACCCATGCCCTGAAACTGGAGCTAGCAGGACTTCTGGACAAACAGGTGGAACAGAACACTCATTCATGAACGACTTTAAAGGAGATAACTTCTGTCAGTGTAGGGATGCCTCTCAGTCCTGCATGTCCCCAGAAGAAAGGACCCAGGTGACAAGAGGCCTGGGGCCCATGGGAGATAGCCCAAGGCAGCCAGTTCTGGCCTGGAAGGCTGCTGCCACGAGTACAGCTTAGAAAAGAGCCTGCCGCCAAAAGCCCGGGGAGGCTCAGAGTGTTGTGGGTTTGGCCCAGAAAGAATCGAGACTCTTCTCTGCCTTATGGAAACCTGGATCTGAGCTCCCTTGGCCTCAGTTGAGGAGACACAGAGAGAGGCTGGCACAGATTTTAGCAGGCCCCCTCGTCCTCTAAAGGACAACTGGACAGGTGATTGCTGCCTCCATATTCTCCCTCAACTATAGGAGCACAGTTCTTATCTGGGGGCGCAGAATACCCCAACGTACCCCAACCCCTGTTCAGGTTTACAGTCAGGTGGACAGAATACCCCAATGTGCCCCTCCCCCATTCTGGTTTACAAGTTGGGTGGCTGGAAACCCATCTTTAGCCTCTGAACCCTAATACAACTCAGGTGGCAGTGTGACTACACTGAGTGTGACTACACTGAGTGTGACTACACTGAGAACAAACAAATGCTAAATGGCTGCTGACGCCTCAGAGTGCTGGAGGACCCCCAGCCCAACTCACAGACACACTTGCTGTTTTGTTTGTTGTTGAGACAGGATCTTGCAGCAGCTTATGCTGACCTGGTACTCACTATATAACCCAGGCTGCCTTTGAACTTGCAGCCATCCTCCTGCTTTAGTACTGGGACACACTTGCCTCCTCTGCAACATCTACACATCTAACTCAAGTATGCATACACAGACTCCTCAGCCACATCCACCCATACAGGACTCAGGTTGGCTGCAGGGCCAGCCTCCCAACCCCTGCCCTCCCCAGAGCGGGTTTTGGGGCACTCACAGCAGCTTGAGGATCTCCACGTGGCAGCCGAGTGTGCGGCCGGCCTGGGGGCCCAGCTCGATGCTCATGGTGCCACAGGCTGGGCTCACCATGAGGCAGTCGATGAGGTTGGGCTCACTGTCGTTGCCTGTGCTGGCCGTCAGCGCCGGCTTGGCAGTGCTGGTGCGCTCCACCTCCACGTGGACCTCGCTGGAGGCCACGACCACCGACTTGAGCCGTGGCTCAGACAGCGTAGCTTCCTGAGACACCAGGTCTGGGCTGGGGTGCAGCAGGCGCAGAGGTAAGGTGGGCTTCCGGTCACATGGCTGCTGACAGCCGTTCCGGATCTCCTTCAGACTGGGGGAGTTGTCTCGGCTGGAGAGGGAGAAGAGGGACATCAGGTGTGGGCAGGGGTCAGCCTTGGCAATAAACAGCAAGTGTGGACAGGGGCCAGCCTTGGCAACCAGAAAGCCCAGCACTGAGCAGAGATGAATGAATGTGTACACTTGGGATTTTAAGGCAGGAGGATGCCTGCAAGTTCAAGGCTAGTCTGGGCTACATAGCGAGTCCCTGTCTCGGAAAAGGAAACTGAAAACAAAAGGCCATTGGTGACAGAGGCCCAGATTTCCTGAGCGTTCATGCATCAGCTCCGGGGAGTTGCAGGTTCCCCTAAGACCCCTGTAACAGGGGAGTGGAGCTGTCACGAGTGTGTTAGGAATGAAAAGTGGAGGCTTGGCTTGGGGTGTACAAAGTTCAGCAAGAGGAACACTGAATCTGGAGTCCAGACAGGTCTGCCCATCTCCATAACCCACCACAGCTTAGCACAGTGGGCACTCAACAGACACCTGCTGAACAAGTAAACATCTCTATGACAGCTACCAAGCATACCCCTGGATCTCTCCTGATAGCCTGTGACACCTGAATAACCCAGTCCCGCTCCACTTGTCTCCTGAGGTGCAGCTGCCCCACCCACCTTGATGCCATCATTCCTTTCAGGGCCCTTTTATTGCCTGTCCCAGCCAGGTGAGAAAATACAGCATCCGCCCTTCTCCTGAGAGCTAACAGCCCACATCCAAGACCCACATTCTGGTGAGCCTAAACTCTCCAGAGGTCTTTTTGGGGGGCTCTCCTTTAAATTCTGGCATCTCCAACTGCCTGAAGGTATAATGCTTGCATTAGGTGTCATAAGGTGTTGACTGAGGAAACTGGGCTTTTCGGCACAGTTGCTTAGAAAATGTGAGGCCAAACATTGATGTTTGGAGCTTCTTCGTAGCAGGACTTGTCAGAACCCTGACCTGATAAAGCCCCTTCCAAAGTTACCCTCAATTCCTGGGACAGCATCCTCAGGCTTGGTGAAAGTAGCAACAAATTCTATGTCGCCAAGTACCAGGGTTCACTCAGATGCTTACAGATACCATCTCCCAGGAGCTCATGAGACAGACTCCATGGGTTAAATGAACTCTTAATGTCACAGCCCATGAGTTCAAGCAGACGGATCTGGAGCCAGCCCTCTGCTCTAGGAGCTAAGTTATCTTCTAAGGCCTCAAGACCGCACGTTTCTCCTCCAGGAAGCTCCCTTTGATTTCCTCTGCCTGCTGCATACATGTTCCCTGCCTGACTCCAAAACCATAGCCTTTTTCTTTTTCTCCCCTGGTGGATGCTAGGACCTTCCCCTCAACTAGAGAACTTCTGAAACACCCCCAAACTCAAGGAGCTCAGCCAAAGGGAGGCCGGCACAAGCAAATGTCAGGACTTACACAAGACTGAGAACAGCACAAAGAATGGTTAGAAGAAGTTGTTCATTGGACTGGCAAGATGGTTCAGCAGGTAGGGCGGTTTGTACCTGAGCCCGACAACACAACCTGAGTTCGATCTGTACTTAAGCCTTACATGGTGAAAAGTTAGAATGACTCTTAAGTCATTTTCTGGCTACACAATCCTTCCCACAATAAATGAACAAAATAAGCAAAAAAAAAAGGGGTGGGGGATAAAGAAAAGAAAGAGCTACTTGCTTAGATTCCTCTCAAACCTGTCACACGTGTGCCATGTCCCCTGAAAGAAGTAAGCACATGCTCTGGTGTACAGGGCAGGGCCTCGAGCACTGGCATTCCACGTGGCATGTGCAGAACTCGAGAACAGACTCAGGGAAGGTCTGAATCCATTTGCACCTGCCATGAGCCAGGATTGAGCGCGGCCCACTGAAGGCGCTCAATAAACACATTTTGGCTTTGCTGGGGGAAAGCAATCACTGGCTTCTGTAAACCTGTGAACTCCACTGTGGGCAAAAGCAGCATGTGGTCTGTGAGGTGGGGCCTGTGGATCTCTGTGGGCTCAGACCTCATTTGCTCCCTCGAGCTCAGCACTCCAGCTCCCTCTGTTTGCCTCTGCTGGGGTCGAGGAGTGGATTTTCAAGGCCTCTTGGCTCTGCTCGGTGATTTTCCAGACAGCCACGCTAACCTGGGTCAGGCTGTCTGTTCTTTCGAGTGCGGGAACATGGTGTGCTCACCGGGAGTGGTGCGGAGGCCTGGAGGACACTGGGAGGGACTGACCAATGGGCCAAAAGGAAACAACTTGGCAGAACCAGGCCTGGAGGCGGGGGGAGTCATGTCATCAGCTGGGACCCCCAACTCTCGAAGGCTCCCAGAGGCTCAGCTGTGCTCTGCTGGGAGCCAAGGCCAGTTTGTGTGGGAGGAAGAACAACCTATCATATCCTCCTCACGCCTTCATTGTGAGAGTTCCCTGCGACTCAGGTCCTGCAGTCCATCTCTCACCCAGCAGCAGTTGGGGGGTAGTGCTGGAAAGGCAATCCCATGACATGCCTCCCCTACTTAAAACTTTCTGTTGACTCACCCATGTTCTCAGAAAATGTAACCCAGGCCAGCTTCCTCTTAAGTGTGTCCTCTGGCTCAGCATCTGTTGTCTGTCAGTCTGCAAACCTTAGGCCCCACACCCATATGCTGAACCTCAATCTATTTTTTTTATTCATGTTATCGGTGTGTGTACGAGTGCGCGTGGTATAAAGAGAGTATGTCTGTTCTCATGTGTGTGGGTGCATGTATGTGTGGGTACATGAAGTGGCTAGAGATTAATGCTGGGTGTCTTCCTTGAGAGCTCGTTTGGAGGTTCTAGCAGGGGAGCGCAGCTACTTGTATATCCCTAACAGAAGACCGGTCCTCCTCTATCCAGGGATTGTCATCCTCTTCGAGTGAGCATGTAGCTTCAGGAGGGACACATATGGAGTGGTGAGGGAGGAAGGGGACATCTGCCTAGCCAGCAGAATAAACCCTTGCAATCAGTGGGGTGACAGATGTCACCCTCACTTCTGCAGGGTGTTTTCCTTAATTGTTCTCCACCTCATCTATTGAAGGAGCCTCTCATTTGAACCCGGAACTTGCTGACTTCCCCAGCCTAGCTAGCCAGCTTGCTCTGGGGATCCATCGTAATGTTAGGGATTACAAATGGCTGCCATGCCCACTCATAAAAGCCCAGCTTTTACATGGGTTCTGGGGATCTGAGCTCTGCTCCTCACACTTGTATGGCAAGCACTTGACTGGCTGAGCTCCACCTGCTATCAACACCACCCCAGGGGAGCCCCTTCATCTTCAGCTTCTCTGTCTCTGGTCTTAACTACACTAATTTCCCTTGGCATGTCCTCTGCAGGGACCCTCTGTCCATGAGCAGACAGACCATGGGCAATTTAGGCAAGCAGACTCCCAAATCCCCCGCAGAAAAAGTCTGCATGTAACTTCAGCAGGCTGAGTGGTTCTGCAGCAGGCGTCCAGGACCACAGATGGAAAAATGCTGTGACAGCCAGCGGCCCTGTGCCACTAAGCCTTTGCATATGCGCCTCCCTCTGCCTGGACATGTCTCTTCCTGCTTCTTGCTTCCCTATCACTATCAGTCTGGGGGACCTTATGTTCAATAGCACCTCCCTGAAGGATCCTTCTAACTCTCTTCAGGCAAGAGTTCTTTAGCTCTGGCCAGGGGAGTCCAAACACCTCCAAGGCCATGCAAAATAATCCAGAATAGCAGCAGGGGCCTGAGTATCCTTTGCTCCTCCCCCACCCCCAAGTTGCAAAGACCCCATCTTGTACTGGCAAAAGGCCAACAGCCGCTTCTCCAGGACAAAGGTGCTCTGGTCTGCAGTATCAGCCAACTGCCTTGGTGTAAATCCCATCTCACATGACCCCTGGCTGCTGAGGTGACATCACCACCAACTCTGGGACGGGAAAGGATGGATATACCAAGACAGACAGGAGCTGGTATTCCTTTGGGAAGGGGCAGCACAGCCTTTGAGCTGACCCTGAGATGTGGCCACCCTTTGTAAAATAAGGAAATGGTTCATTATTGCCGGAGGTCTCCTTGTGATGTCAGGATCAGGACCAAGAACAACAATCCTCCACTCTCCTGCTTTGCTACTTAGAAGCGTCACAGCCTCTTTCCTGTCCTTTGTCTCCTGGTTTTAGAAGCCATTTGCCCAAGTTCAGTGACCCCCTTTTTGCTGAAAGAATACTTCAGTACATGCTGAAAGAATACTTCAGTACATGCCCCAGCTCGGATGGTGCCTAGACAGTGTGTGTGTGGGGTCCCTTGCAGTTGTGCATCGTTTCAAATGAACAACTGGGTAGCTGCAGTAGGCCCCACCCTGCCCTGCACATCAGCCGCTAATGACGTAGAAGGCTACTACAGGAAGAGGCTCACAGATCAATGGCACCTGTGTCCCTTTGTAATCCCTAAACAATCTCAACCAGGGCAAATGGGGTCTGTATCAAAACAGGGTAGGAGGGATGAAGAGACACACGAGTGTACCATACTCACTCTCCTGGGTCAGTGGTCCCAGCCGAGGGACCCCTGCTCCACCTAAATCCTAGGCTCTCTCCTAGGCAAGCATCCACAGTAACTGCATTCTATCTCCCTCACTACCCAGTTTTACCACGTGAATGCCTGTCTCCCCACCAGACAGGTTCTGGTGTAGTCACAGATCTATGTGTGTCCCCCAAAACATTCAGCCCAGGAGGAGAAATGTTCACAGGCACAACTCAGTCACTTCCTAGCACTGAAAACTGTACTATGTATTCTGCAGCAGGCTCTTGGGGGAAAAGTACAGACCATTCAGCAAGACCCAAGTTCTTACTATGTAACCTTAAACCTGCAATCCTCCGGCCTCAGCCTCCAGGATGCTAAAATGTCCGAGTAGTCCTTTACCCTACCCCCTCAGTGTGTCACCCTACCTCACAGTGAGCAGCCGTCAGCATAGGATACCCTTAACTCCAGCCCAGGTATCAGGAGCCCGACACTGGGTGTCATGTCACCTTCTCAGCCCTACCCCAGGGCTGGGCTCACACTAATGGGCTGAAGTCAAGGCAGCAACAGCCACTCCACCTTCCCACCAGAGAGGAGGGACAAGTCACCCTCTTCAGCAACTTAGTCCCAGGACAAGGTGGCACTGTGGCCCCACCCAGATCATCCAGCACAGTAACACTGACCTGTTGATGAACTCTTCGTAGCAGGAGTAGATGGCAGCCAGGCACACAGCCACAAGGTTGGGCAGGACCCGGGGATGTGGGCAGTGCCCTGTGGGGCCATGCATGCTGGAAGAGAGCAAAGGGAAGGTGAGGAGGCTGTGGAGTAGCAGTTGGCCTGAGGGGGCGTTGAGGTGCTGAGAGGTACTGCCCAGGTGTGAGACCACCTACTCTGCCAGCCCTGTTGAGGACAGGTGGAGGGTATGTGCCATGTGGTTGGTGACTCGGGCTAAGAATGGGCAGAGCTGAGGTACCAGATGAGGGGCCTGGCCAGCTGCTTAGACTTTACCCCTACACCTTGAACTGTGTGTAGACAGACTCTCCTCAGTGGTGACAAAATTAAACCTAGTTCACAGAAAGATGCAGCACGTAATGGCTCTGTCCACAGGTGTTTCTGGAATGACTATTCACGACACAGTTTTACTCTCAAAAGTGTGCTTTGTAAAAAAAAAAAAGTCATTTAGTCGGGAGGTGGTGGGGCACACCTTTAATCCCAGTGCTTGAATTGTGCCTGTGAACATTTCTCCTCCTGGGCTGAGTGTTCTTGGGGGACACACATAGATCTCTGATTACACCAGAACCTACAGGAGGGTTAGGGCTTCCTCATGCGTTATTTATTTGCACAACAATCTCCCAGGATCACAGAGGCAGAGTGACAGGTTCACTGTCACACAACAAGCAAGTAGCTGGGACCACTCAGGACTGGGAGAGTCCAGTGGAGCGCCTCCTACAAGGTGAGAAACAGGACTTCCCTGTGTATCATAAACCTGATAGGGAGAGCAGGGAGAGCAGAGGGTGGGTGGGTAGGCAAGACACACCTTTGAATGAATTTCTTTACCACCTCCATGCCTGCATTGAGTTCATTCAGGGCAAGAATGTACTCCTGGGTGAAGAGCCTCAGCCTTGGGCACTTCCCAAAGTCCTGCAGAGACAGCAAAGGCAGAGTTACTGGGGCATGGCCAGCAGGGTCTGTGGAAGGAAGACACCACACTCCCACTCACACCTCTAATGACTCCCATGGTCAGAAGGGGTCCGGGTGTAGCCTGCATCTCCCTACCCCATGGCTCTGCTGGGTAGGCAGAGGTCATCAAGTCCAGGTCTGTCCCCGCTGCAGGAACCTGACTGGCAAATGTCCCACCTGGCCTCTGGTTGCCCTGGGAAACTACAAGTTCTTCTGCAGTAGCTACCTGAATCTCTGAGCTGGTGTCTGGGGCACTTAGCAGCCAGAGAGACTCCAGTGCAGAGCAATAATGAGAAAGAATACTCATCTCCTGGGTCTGGGGTTAGGTAAGGTGGCTCCACACACCCTACCTACCACAGGAGTGAACAGACATCAGATTCCTCCTGAGTGGAGGTGTGACAGGGCAGGGGAAGCTGGCTTCAGAGCAGGGATGCACCCAGGCACGGTTCCTCAGGAGCTTCATTTGGTCTAGCAGACCCCAGGCACCCCTAGCCTCTAGAGCAAAGAGTGTCTGAAGACCACCAGCCACCCTCAAAGGCACAGGGAGAGCCAGGAATGGCAGCACACACCAATGAGCCGAGCTCTTGAGAGGCTGAGGCAGGGTGTTCGTGAGTTTGAGACCAGCCTGGGCTACACAGTGAGACCTATGCACAAATGAGGGTGCTAGTGGTGACTGGGAGCTGGAAGGAGATGTGGGTGTTTGGCGTGGGTGTGCAGGAGGCAGCCAGTGTGTAAGCACACAGCCAGGGAAGGGTAGGGCGGGTGCGTCATTGAAGTAGGGAGAGGAGGAGAGGGCTGCAGCAAGGAGGAAGATGGGCACTTACAGAGTGCCTCCAGCCTGGGCGACAGCTGCATCCAGAGCCACAAGTGTCCATCTGTGGACTGCACTTACGGCTCAATTACGGGCCCTGGCCAAGGACAAAGGGGTTCTTCCTGCTCTAGCTGAGCGGCATAATATGAGAGTAACAGCAGGTGTGGGCAGAGCAAGCCCTACCAGGGGTACAAGCGAAGTACCTAGAGTGGTCCAGGGGCTTGGTGAGTCCTGGACTTGTCTAGAGAAATGGGCAATGTAGGAAGAGAGAGGCACTTTTAGGAGAGGCCCCTCAGGCCTGTCCAACCGTGTTCATTTCCGTGCTCGGCTAGGGATGGGATGCAGAGGGTTGACAGGTACCAGCCCACACTGCTCTGCCTCAGCTGTACAGACTCTTGTTCCAGCTCTGGAAAAATGATGTATTTGGCCAGCAAGACGTCTCATGGCTGACATTTGGTGTCACCCAATTCATCTTCCTACACTCAATGGGACCTATTGAAAAAGCAACTTGCAGGCTCAGTGCCAGAGCCCTGGATTCAACCCCCAGCATAGGAGTAGGGGTGTTACTTTATTTACAGTGTGCCCCCCTTTCTTCCCAGAGACAGGGTTTCTTTGTGTAACCCTAGAGCTTGTCCTGGAACTCACTCTGTAAAACAAGCTGGCCTCGAACTCATAGAGATTTGTCTGCCTCTGCCTCCCAAGTGCTGGGATTAAAGGTGTGCACCACCACTGCCTGGCAGCAGCCTGTTCTTTAAGATCATTTGTTTACACATGAGAAAAACAGAACCCAGGGAGGAGCTTAAGAAACACACACACACACACACACACACACACACACACCCACAGATCATTTGTTTACACATGAGAAAAACAGAACCCAGGGAGGAGCTTAAGAAACAAACACACACACACACACACGCAGACTGTGGGCATATACACATATAACACTGAGCTAGGAACAGAGTGCTGCAGGGAGACCTTGAGGTACTTCATCTTGCCTTCCTATCTAGGGAGGTGCCCACAGTGCTCCACTCTCTTACAAAAGGTGATAGAAAAGCTGTGTGGTCTCAGTCTGTCAAACCAATCTGGGCCGTTCTGAAGGGCCCTGTGGAATGAAGGCGGGTGAATCCATATCTAGGGTCACATGAGTCTATAAACACTGCTTCCCTGAGCCCTGTTAAGGGTGTATGGTCATGGGACTCCAAGCCACGGCTCTACATCTCCCGTTCTTACCCTGGTTCCCTGTCAATCTGTGGATGGCCAAGATCCACCAAGAGTCAAGTGTGGCCCAAATACTTAATTAATACTCATGATGCCTAGGATGGGGTGGCAATCCTTATAAAGGCCAGGCCAGCAGATGAGGTAAATTACACATTTGCGCTGGAGTTATTTCTTATTTGTATTAATAATATTGTCCCATAGTCACTCCTGAAAGCCCATGAAATGAACCAAATACAAGGCTAACAGTGCATGGCTGAGCCCTTGGAGGCAAGACTGTTGACTTTTTCCCTTTAAGCGCCCTCCCCCAAAAGAACCCTTATGAAGTGTTTACTGACTACCAGTGAGAACCCAGAATTGCTTATAAGTAGCAGGATCTATTCCTGGTACCCACACAGTTTCCAGTTGTTCCTACTGCTGGAGCACTGAGTGGCAAAACCCTCACTGATGCAAGTGTGCTGTGCTTGACTGATGATGTCTGTCATGGATACAGAAGGTAGGGTAGTGCAACTGACAAGCACTTTCACTCTTGACTGGGGACTTGCTGGGGACACAGGAGTGTGTGGCACATGAGCAGATTTTCCAGGTTGCCCTTTCTCAGAGGCTTTTCATATGCCAGGGTGACGTCAAAAGAACACTTGAGGTGTCCTGACCTTAGAGGCCCGCTCCCCACATCATGAACACTCACAGTGCTACAGACCCTGTTGACTCTGCCCAGTCTTTCTGGTCTGAGACTTCTATGTACATAGTATCAGCGAGGTGTTACTGAATTAATGACATCATGTTGTTTGGCTCCAGTATGGTGTCCAATAAATCTCCAGGAACATGTTTGTTATTCTTAGGCCTTGTCTGTGTTGTAGGCCTGTGGTCAGCTCGCAGCTCTTGCTTGTTACGTCTCAGTTGCCCTACATGTACTGAGAAAATATTTGCCATTCTCACATTAAGTGCCACACAGCTCTCGAATGCCAGGTCCTCGGAGGGGACAATTAAATCCCCTCAAAATGAACTAACCTCTACTCCGTTTAGATTTCCATCACTCCCCACTAATGTGTGTGCCCCTGCCACTCTGCTTTTAGACAGGTTCTCATGTAGGACAAGCTGGCCTTACATTCATAATGTATTTGAGAATGACCCTGAATGGACTTGCCTGCCTCCACCTCCCCAGGGCTAGGATTACAGGGGTACATTACCACACTCGATTTATGAGGTGCTGGAGACAGAACCCAGGACCTTGTGCAGGCTAGATAAGCATTCTACTGACCAAACAACATCGCCAGCCCTCACAATGTCCTTTGTCTGTCTTGGTGTCCCATCTGGGAGTGCATATGACACTCAGTTGTCATGTGTCCTTCCTCTGGCCTGGGCCTCTTGCTCAGACTTTCCTTATTGTAATGATCTGGGCAGAGTTGAAGGATATGTTGTTTTCTAAGATTGCACTGGGGTGACAGGTTTCAGGGGGAAAGATCCTCAGGGTCAGGGTCTAGCAGTCACCACTGTGATGTTGATATTTATGCCCAGCCAAGGCCACGCTTGCTCGGCTCTTCCCATTGGAGCTGCTCACCATGCCATTCAGAAGTTACTGCACTTGTTCATCCTTCAAAAGTGAAGAGTCCCACTCTACATCCTGGAGAACAGAGTACTGTCCATAACCCATAGTGGGGATCACTCTGTATGGAGGTCAGGCCCCCCAGCCACAACATCTATTCTCACCTATTGGAAAAATATTTTTCTGCCTGCTTTAGTGAAGCAAAGCACAGTCCTGGAGAACAGGCTCCACAAATCTGGCCACGCCCACCCATGCAAGGCTGTCCATCCAGGCACTTACCATGTTATGCTTAAGGATCCTCTGAACCACCGGTGTGAATACCTCGATGACCACCATGGACCGGGGCCGCTCCCTGCAGTGCTAGGGGGAGAGGGACATAGTCAGTGCAGGCTGAGGGAGCCCCACCCACAGCCAGATGCTTCCAGAGGCCAGAGGATGTTACCAAGCCCAGCAAGGATAGAGTTTCCCTTGCTGAATGCTGCTGCAGCTTATTTAGGAAGACTGCATGCTGTAGAGCAGGCTTAGGCTCACGACAAAACTACAAAGTGGAGATGTGTCACGGTCTCCCCATCTGTCAACCTATCACAGTACCACAATACACTTGTTGCAGGTGATTAGCCTATACCGGCATGTCACAGGGCCCTTAGTCCAGTCTACACTAGGGTGGTCGCTGGGTGCACACTCTAAGGGTCTGGACCCAAGGCTGAGGATATGCATCACCATGACAACAGCATATACTAGTTTTACGTTGAACTCTGTTTGCCTAACACTCTGCCCTTCCTCCAGCCTTTGCCACCCTAGCAGCTGCCCCTCCCAGAACTATAGGCATAGAGTAACAGGCTTCGTTAGACATATGGAGACCTTAGCCAGCAGTAGTGGCGTACGCCTTTAATCCTAGCACTCGGGAGGCAGAGGCAGGTGGATCTCTGTGAGTTCTAGGATAGCCTCCAAAGCTACAGAGAAACCCTGTTTTGGAAACTCATCCCCCCCCCCCAAAGTGTGGAAACCTGAAGAGTAAGATTCCTTTTAATGTAGAGCCTGAAGGTGATTTTTATGCAATGTTTTCAGTGTGCCGATTTTGACAGTTGCCTACTCGTGGTGTCATGTCAGCACTCAAAGTTTTGGGTTTTGGATCATTTTGGATTTCAGATTTGTGGACTATAGATACTTAACTTTCTGCTGAAACCACAAAGGCATGCAGCCGTGCAGTATGCTGTCCCCGAGTGATAACACTCATGGGTTGTGAGGCTAGTGTTCCCTGCAGGCGTTCACAGCTTCACCACTCTTTTCTCCCCTCCTCGTTTGAGACAGGGGCTCTCTCTAAGTAGCCCAGGATGTCCCTCTGTCTCAGTCTCCCCGCTGCTGGAATTACAGATGTGCACCACCACACCCGGATGCTCACAATTTTAACCAAGAATCCCTTAACAGTCCTGGGACGATGATCCACTAAAGCACTTGCTGGGTTCCATCCCCAGAACCCAGGCAGGAGGGACAGCTCCATGGTTACCAGGGAATTAGGTTAGGAAGGTTAAACTGCAAAAGATGGGAATATGGTTCCCAGCACCCACACTCGGCAGTTCCAGGGAATCTGGTGCCCTCTTCTGGTCTCTATGGGAACCCACATAAATAAAAATGAAAATCAGGGAGGCAGAGACAGGAAGGGGCTCCCTGGCCAGCCAGTCTAGGCAATTGACAAGCCCCACATCAGGAAGAAACCCTGTGTCAAAATACAAAACCTGCCTGAGGAAAGGCACATGAGGTTGTCCTCTGACTTCTCTGCATACATGTACTCACGCAAAACATGCACAAATCCCCAGTGCATAGGCAGACAGAGTTAATTCATCCATTCACTTACTGAGGAACACCTTGGTATATAACAGGGCAACTAACCCTGTTATATACATCTGTGGGTAGATTTAGGTTTCTAACTCAACTGGGTAAAAATCACAGAGCATCTTGCTTTTCTTTTGTTAGAGTAAAGGGGAGGCGGGGGGGGGGGGGACAGACAGGATAGGATCTTTCATTGCTGTTGGTTTAAATATTTAGAACCACTTCAGATGGGTCTGTTCTGCCTCAAATTTTATGTCTCATGTAAGATCCAGCAGGCTTGTCTGATAAGTTGGAGAACATTCTAGTTGTGGGGCAGCCTCTTGACTTTTCAGTGGCTGCTGTCAATATCTTGTAGAAGTCCATAGGCCAAGCTGGGCTCATCATCATAAGATGGTGTTACATAGCCCAGGCTATGGAATTTACTGTGTAGCCAAGGATGACTTAGATACCCCGATTCTCTTGTCTTCATCTCTTGAGTGCCAGGAGTTAGAGGTGTGAGCCATCACCCAGTTTTATGTAGTGGTAAGAATCAAATGCAAGGCTCAGTTAGTCTGTGCTAGGGAAGCGCTCTATCTGGTAGCTCCACCCTCCACCCCCTGGTGTCTTGTTTTTGAATTGAAGGAGGACTTCCGCTCAGCAGACAAGCTCCCTTGCCCCACTAACCTGCTCATACATAAGCACCCCTTAGCCCCAGAGGAGTTCCATCTGCAACTCTTAGCAAGACCAGTGGACCTGGGAGAAAGAGCCCAGTGCAGCAAATTTCCTCAGACCTTTGTGTTTGAGGCCTGGAAGTCTAGCAGGAAGGACTCCTCAAAGGGGCCCTGGGGGCTGGTGGGGAGGGCTTTGTACCAGTAAAGCTCCTCTCCCTGGACTTAGTCTCCACAGGGAAGACAGCCTGAAGCCCCATGGTACTGGCCAGATTCTCACCTCTTCCATTTAAGTTCCAGCAGGGACTGCCTAAGGTCCATTTTCTCCTACTTTACTTCCTGCTAGCAGGAACCCCAGGGGAAGACTTACTCTGGGGGGGCTGATGGGGTTGCTCGGCAGATAAGGTGCTTGTCACCAAGCCTGACAACCTGAATTTGATACCCAAAATCCACGAGATGGAAAGAAAGCACCAACTCCAACAAGTTATCCTGTGACCTCCACATGCTCAGCATGGCGCATGTGTGCACAAGCGCATAGAATAAATAAATAAATCTTTTAAAAAAGACTTTGAACAAAGGCCAATTTTCTGGCGTAAACATTTGTAACTATGAGACCAGAAGAAATCATAAGCTTGAGAGGCCCACATGGGGCTTGTATGAGACTGAGCAGGCTGTGGAGAAGCAATTGGCTAATTGATCCTGCAGGAGCCTAAAGTCCAGGCTCTCTTACTCCATTTGCCTAGAAGCTGACACCGAATGTTGGAGCAGTTGGAGCAGAGGCCTCTCTCCTATGTGTGCTCACCATGCTGGTGGATGCTTGCCCATTTGGGCCCGAGGGCACATTGCCAATACCATATGAAGAAGGGGTTTCAGTGCTGGGTCCTGAACTGGCCCCTGGGTGTCATAGGCTGGCCAATGTGTGAGTCACTGGGAAAGGTCTCCTTATAGCAGATGCAGAGCCAAAGAGAACACAGACTTGTTCCATTCCAAGCCCCACCCCCAGCTCTCTGCTGCTGGCCAAGCAGGGGACAGAAAAACTAAGATTTCCACCCAGGACCCTGTTCCCGCTTCACATACTTATTTCATGATGAGTATAGTCCACATGTTCCCAACGGGCAGCATGGGGCTGTAGAAGGGGGCAGGGGCCCCACACGGTGCTTAAGGGAACCATGCAGTGAGGACAAAGGAAGTCAGTTTGCAGGGTTATGACATGGCAGGGCTGGGGAGGTGAGAGATGCAAGCATGTGTCTTACTAAGGATATCAAGTTAGTACAGTACACACACACACACATGCACACTCTCTTTCTCATACACACAGACAGAGACAGAGACATGGAGGGAGCGAGGGAGGGAGGGAGGGAGGGAGGGAGGGAGGGAGGGAGGGATGGGGAGGACAGACAGGTTTGTATACCAGCCCAGCCCTCTAGGCTGCTGAGCTGTTGTTCTGGGAAGGCCCTGTGGCCTGGTGTGGCTGGCTGTGTTGCATACAAACTGCTGTGAGGTTGGCATCAGGTCCCTGGGCATGTTGCCCTGCTCTGTGGCTCCTCCAAGCTGACCTGGCACATGCTGCCAGTTTCCCTTGTCCAGGGAAAGCCCTGCAGCCGGGCCCCTACCCCGGGCCAGCCAGTGCTCAGAGGAGCCTCGGCTAAGAATAACCCAGCTCTGACGTCAGGAATCCAGAAGACTGGCTGCAAGCTGCCTCCCAAGACAGCCAGGAATAGTCCACAGAAAAGCCAGACGCCTGGCTCTTCCTTAGCCTGTCTATCAGAGGACAGCAGCCCCAAGACAGTACCTGCACAACACCTGTCTGCACCTGGGACCCTGCCCAAGCTGGCATTTAAGCAGTGCCTCCAGACCTACTCTAGCTTGCAGACAGTGGTGGCATTGGCCTTTGGTAGCCCACTGCAGTGATAACATACCTTGCAGAAGAATTCACAGAGATCTGGTGGTGGGTGGTTATTTTCCAGCAGAGGTGCAATTGCCTACAAGAAAATGAACAAGCATCAGTCAGGAGGACTTGGGGGTGGGGTGGGAGTGAAGGCCATGGTCTACAGAAAAGAGCTGCTTGCCATGAAATAGAAACATCCCTCTACCCTCTGCAGGATAGAGCTCCTTTTCTAATGTTCAGACCAGGGTTTTAGAGTGCAGGAAAGCTCCAGGCTAGACCCACAGTGGCACATCTAATTCTAGAGGCTTCATTCCTAGCTGGCATTTATCCATATGGCCTTCAAGTCCACAACTCCTGACTAAGCAGCAGGACATCTTATTGGGTGAACACAATGCCATTTTAAACAAGGGATCTGGGGGGCTGGAGAGACTGCTCAGTGGGTTCAATTTCAGAAGGCCTGGGTTCAATTTCCAGCACCCTCTTGGCAGCTCACAACTGTCTGTAACTCCAATTCCAAGGGATCAATGTACATAAAATAAAAATAAACAAACCATTTTAAAAAAAGTAAAGAAGGGATCTGCACACCTTCTATGTTCCTATCACTGGGGGAGAAGGGAGCTGGGCTCCTGGCACCACCCTCAGGAATGAGCACACAGGCTGGGCAGAGTCCTGGCTGAGATTCTGGTCTTGGCCCCTCTTAGCAACTACACCACTGGAGCAAGTGGTTTTGTCTCCAATGCAGTCCAAAAAGTCTCTGCAGTTCCTTAACCACCAGATTGACTGAGCTTTGTGGGATGCCAGTCCTGTGCACTATAGCAGGCCCAGCAGTACCTGTGGCCTTGCCTCCCTGAATGTGACAACACCAACCATCTAAGCATACCTCACATTAAGGAAGGGCACACCCCCACACACCCTTGAGCAACTGCTTAGCAAGTCTCCTGGGGCCTGGCTGTGTCACACTAGGGTCTGGCTGGTTCTAGGAGGACCGTGGTTACAGTGGCAGCAACAAGATGGGAGGCCCCTTCTCTGCCCATGAGGTACTGCCCATGCTGTACTTGGGTACCAGTACAGGCCAGGGTGTGGTCCCCTTGGGTTGAGTCCTACTAGTCCCTTCATGCCAGGCCTCCTTCCTACTGGAAGTGAGTTATAGTGCGGAGTGGGGGGGGGGCTAGTTTAGCACTAGCTATAACGTGCCACGTCCAAGCCATGCCCTTACCTAGTCCTTAGACCCATAGGTACGGATAAAAGACAGTGGACCAGGGAGTTTGCCAGGTCATGGCTGGTCATAAAGTGATGACTGTATTTAAATATATTGATATAATCAGTAAGCAAGCTCCCATTTTTGTGGAATCGCTCTAGAAGCCAGGCCCTCGGCTTGGCATGTTAGTTATGACTGCTCAGAGAGTCCCGAACAGCTATGAGCAAAGCACCAAACTGGCATTTTACAGAGTCTGAGCACTGAAGCCACTGGACTGGAAAGGATAGCAGTTAAATAAAAAGAAAAAGCATGTCCAACTTGCAGCCCATAGATCACCATGAAGGCAGTTCACAAAATCGCCAACTTAGAAACATCATATTACCCTTAGAGGGTTAAGGGATTGCTGTGCAAGTTTCATGACCTGAGTTTGGCCCCAGGAACCCATATAGAAGGGACAACTGAACCACCTCCACAGACTTGCCTGCTGCTGCTGACCTCCATACACACACCACAGCACACAGCACCCCCCACACATACACTATGTACACACACAATAAGTAAATTGAAGACATTGAGGGTTTGTTTTGGTAATTATTTTGGTAACTCAACACATAGCTCCTGAGCATGAATTCTGCAGATGGTAATGCTGTGCCATGATGTCAAAAGTTGGATATGACTGCCGGGGGCATCTTTATAAAGTAGGTCTCATGAGGGTGAGTTGGCCCTAAGGGGTGCCTGGTATACTTTGAGCTGTTTCTGCCGCAAAGGCCTCTCAGGAGCGAAGGCCAGAGAGGAAGGATTGTCACACTCCAACGATGCCCAGGGTACCTTCAAAATGAGGTATTTCCCTTTGCAGATGTCACACAGGGAGAGAGGCATTTGCGCAAGAAATTTTACAGAAAAACCTGAAAGGATCTCCAGGTTACATTGACAGGTGGGGCGACAGATGTGGAACATGTCCCTTGTCACACTGCACACATGAAGAAGCTGTTACTTGGAGGAAACAGCCTCTGAAGATGGTAATGGGAGAAGGCAAGACCACCTTCCCCTTTTTTCTTTCAGTTCTAAGTATAGAAAATCCAGACGTTCACACACATTAGTGGGAGGGAAGTACTCTACCCCTGAGCCACATGCCCAGCCCCTCACTGGGGCACTCTAGGCTGGGGCTCTACCACAGAGCCAATGTTGCAGCACCCCTTTTATTTTTTATTTCCAGAAAGTCTCATTAAGTTAGCCAGACTGACATTGAACTCATTAAGTAGCCCAGGAAGGCTTTAAACGTGCGATCCCGATCCTTCTGTCTTCAGTCTCCTAAGTAGCTAGGAAAATACACCTGTGCCACTAGGCTTAGCTCAAAACCTACTAAATAACAACAAAAGCACAGTGAAATACTAGAATGTCAAAACTAAGTCAGCTCTCTATCAGTGGGCTCCTCATCTGTGTATTCAACAACCATGGTTCAAATTATTTAGAGAAAAAAAGAAAAACCTGTGTTTGGACAGAAAGAAGAGACTGAGCCTGCCATAGTTCCCGAGGCACTACCATGGGGCAGCTGACACCTGTTCACATTGTACTAGATGGTCTAAAATCTAGAGATGAGGTAACACACACAGGAGGATGTGCAGGGGTTATGTGTCAATGTCATCCCACCTTCCATCTGAGACTTAGACACTTGTAGAGTTTGACATCTTCTGGGGTCCTTCAATCACCTATAGGTCCTGAAGGTGACTATTTTTTTTTTAACCTATCTTGAATATTTTTCCCCTTTCTGTTTTTTGGTGATGTTGGGAATTAAACTTAGGACCTTGTATATGCTAGCTATGTGTGTATGAATGTGCACCATGTGAATGCCTGGAGTTCTAGGTGATTCTGAGCCACCATGGGTGCTGGGAATTGAAACTGGGTCCTCTGAAAGAGTAACAAGTGCTTTTAACTGCTGAGCCACCCCTCTAGCCCAGTGGTTCTCAATCTCCCTAATGCTGTGACAGTCCCTCATGTTGTGGTGATCCCGATCATAAAATTATTTCATAGCTACTTCATAACTGTATTTTTGCTACTGTTATGAATTATAATGTAAATATCTGATATGCAACCCCCTTGAAAGGGTTGTTCAATCATTCTCCCACCCCCGCCCCACAAGAGTCACAACCCACAGGTTGAGAACTGATAAGGTCTAGCCCAAGGACAACTGTTTTTAATAACACTAAAACGTTCAGGAGGAAGAGACAACTGCTCCTGCAGAAGACCTGGTTCAGTTCCCAGCAACAACACGGTGGCTCGTAACCACCTGTAACTTCAGTTCTAGGGTATCCAATGGATTCTTCTGACTTCCACTGGCGCTGTTGACACATGGTATACAGACATACATGCAGGCAAAACACCCATACGCATAAATACACACAGGCAAAACACCCACACACATCAAGTAATAATTAACAAAAAAAAATTTTTTTAAAGTTCTTCAAGTAATTGTCACAACCGGGTCTAGATGCTCTGAGCTTAAAACCATGTTAGCATTAAATCTGCTTTGTTCATGATCATGGAGGGCGGGCCAGTGCAGGATGTGTGTGCAAGCCTGTGTGCCTCTGTTGCCACCCAAATGGTAGCCACTGATGGGTTTTATGGCTTGGGGATCTGGTTGGTGAAATCAAAAATAAAAAAGCTAACTCAAGTTCTGCTGGAAAAGAATGTACACAGAGAATGACCAAGTGCTGCTATAGGGGACTGACTGTCAATAGGCCAACTATGAGAACAAAACTCTGGGCTGGAGGGAAAGCTCCAGGAGATGTGGTAAGGATGTTAAACCCTAATGATGATGGCCGTGGCAGTGAGAGTGTGTGTGGCACCGGCCCAGCTGGTCTCACCGCTGTCTGTGCACACGGGTCCTTTCCCTACCCGCCTTTTCCTGCGGTGACACTTTCCCACCCTTCAGGACAACCTGGACCTGGAAGTGCCCTTACTGGCAGAGGAGACCAGGTGCCCCTCCCCCGTGCTCATCCATCACTCCCGAAACCCTGCCCTTGACTGAGGCGTGTTTTTATCGTGACTGATCTGCTGGGGCCCTGGAATCCACAAAGCAAGTCTTCAATGGCAGGGCCGGCTCTGGTGGGACAGAGCTGGGGTCTTTCTGGCACATGCATTCACACAGGTAGTGAAGGCCAGCTACACAAGCCGACTCCCTGACAGGACACCAGGAGAAGGTGCTGGAAGGCGAGTGGAGGGAACCAGGTTGTTACCCCACTCTGTCAAGAGCAGCCAAAGGGAGCTGTGGCGGGTGCACCAGCCACGCGCCAGGCACCAGACCAAGGGAAGCAGGGCTACTGACGCCTCGGAGCTAGTGAAAGGACAGCAGCTCACCTCCGGGTGTGCACACAAGCCTGGCGTAGCTGCACGAGCCCAAGGGGCAATGGGACTGGCACGGAACTCCCAAGGCCGCAGCCCCTCCTCAGAGGCTCACCCTGCTTCCTCCAGAACAGTGTTCTGCTTCACTTCCAATTCTAGTTCTGTCTCCTAGCCTCCTGCTCCCATATGCTTTATGCTCTAACAATGCCGAAGCTTCCACAGTACGCCATGTTGTTTTAACCTCGGCACCTTTGAATACATGGTTTGCCCTTCCCAGGGTGCCTTTACTCATCTGGCAAACTCCTACTGATGCTTCAAAGCCCAGCTCAGGTGTCACTGCCCTGGGGAACTTTCTGGCTCTCTCTCCCCACACTACATACCTCTGTTTTGTAGTGATCACATTTGTGTTCCTATAACAGATGAATTTGTGAAGGCACGGTTGTTTCTACCATTTGTGGACTCCGGTGATAGGGCAGGGCATACACACTTTTGGTGCAATTCCATTACTCTCTTTTTCATGACAACAGTCTCAGAGCTTAAAATGGTCCAGGAATACATTTTACCCAAAGGTGCTTAGGACACTGCTGAATTCTGAGAATTCAGAATTACTGTATGTACCAGAGAGGTCTTAGTGATGAATTAATTAGGGAACATAACCAGGGCAAGAAAGAGTGGGTTGACCTGGCCAGTAACCAACCGGTGATTGATGGCTGTGAGTGAAAGTCACACCTTCCTGGAGACCTGGGAATGAGGGTGATGGAGAGCTGCTTGCAGTGGACCCCAAAGACTGACCATCACAGCCATCTCCAGTCAGCTGTGCTCTGCGCTACATACGGAGGCAGGATGGGGAGTGGGCAGCAGTGACCTGTCAAGGGCGGGGGCTGTGCTGCATCCTGGTGCCTTAGGAAGGTTCTCAGCACCAGGCTGGGCTTTAGAGGGATGGGAGATGGGAGGGAGGCTGGCAGGCTACTTACCACAATGATGCTCTCGTGCTCCTGAGTGGTCAGGTTTGTGTTCTAAAGGACCAAGAAAGAAGGAAAGCACAATCAAAGCTGGGCATTTGATCCCAAGGATCCACAACATGGCAAAGTATTCTCTCCGTGTCCCCCACCCCACATCCCCAATCATTTCTTCACTCATCAGGACAACTCTGGGTACATCCTAGTTGTCTTAAACTGACAATTAAACACAGCCCAGGTTGGCCTGTGGGTATGTCTTCAGGAAGCTGTCTCAATTTGACTGCTGATGGAGGGAGGAGGGCACAGCCCACCCCGAGCTGCACCATGCCCTACCCAGATGGTCCTGGGCTGTATAAGAAAGCCAGCTGAGCCCAGTTGCCTCTGTGGTTTCTGCTTTAAGTTGAGTTCCTGCCCTGACTTCCTTCAACGATTGACTGCAAGCTGAAGGCTGAAAGAAATCCTTTTGCCTCCTAAGTTACTTTTGGTCAGGATGCTTTATCACAGCAAGAGAAAGGAAACTAGAACAGAGGGTAAAGGGAAAACTGAGCTCCCCACCCTGTCTCACAGCTGAGGCTTGGGGTGACTCATGTCTTGCTGAGTCTCGGTTACTCCCTTGGCAAATGGGGGTCCTGATATCTGCACCTCACGGGGCTGTGGTTGAAGGATTCAGACATAGTTATGGCACTGCTTAGAACTCGAGGGAGGGTTCACAACACATAAGGAAGAAAACAACCTTTTGTGAGTCTCCACTCGACACTGGGTACACCTTTTATTTCAGATCAATATGTTATTCCAGTGGTTCTCAAAGTAGGCTCCCAAGGAACACTGGTGTACCAGGAGTGCCCCCAAGATGTTCCAGCTAAACACACATTTGAGCAATGGACGTCTAAAACAAAACTAGGTTAATAGCCTTGTTTTGTTTTGTTTTGTTTGACCCTCCTAGATCTGGAATCTGTTAAACTGACTATTGCAAACCTTCCTGCAAGTATGTGGAGAAATGGTAGGGATCGTGGGAAACTTAAAGCACCCAGTGTTCTCTTTCATGCCAGTCTATTGTGTCTCTTCTGAAAGACACAGACTGTCATTGGTGTCCACTTCCATTTCTTAACAGTCACATTTGGAGCTTAGGGTTGGCATGATGCAGGGCCCACGCCCCTACCATCACAACAGACCAATGGGAGTAGGGGCATCTAGCAGGTCCGCACCAGCTGGTCACCTGCCTTTGCCCCAGCAGCCTGGGGTACAGGAGGCTGAGACAGGGCCATCGTCTAAGTACCGAGTAGAGGTCTGCCCGCCCTCTTGAGTGTTCAGGACAAGCAGAGGGGTGTCTCTCTGACTGTGATATCTTTATCTTTCCCTGAAGCCTGTTTCTAGTGGACTGATAAAAAGCACTAGTTACTCTGAGGTTGCGGCAAATGAAAGCCAGCTGTACTCTTCCCTTATGGGGGAAAACGTGTTTTCCGCTTGGTCCACGGACTCTGTTTGATTGTAACTTTGAAAACCTTCTTATTACACTTATTTCCTATGTGCATATGTACACATGTCATGGAACCAAGTAAGTTGGGGGTCAGAGCACAACTCAAAGGAGCTGGTTTTCTCTTTCTGCCAGGTAGACTGGGGACTGGACATGGCTCATCAGGCCTGGCACCAAAGACCTTTATTCTTCTGAGCTATCTCTCCAGATGCTGCTTTATGAAGACAGGCTTCCCCCTCCCCCTTTTTTTTTCTACTACCTGCTGACTAATGAGTTACCTGGGGCTTAACACAGTGCACCCGCTTACCCAAATGCACAAGGAAACTGTGACAAAGTAGGGACCCGAACCTCTGTCTGGCGTGAGCCTAAAGCTTTTATTTCTTCACAGAGCTGCAGCGTTCAGCCCTGGGACAGTCCCCTATGTTGGTCTGTGTGTACACCATAGAGCTATCTGAGAAGCTCCAGGTAGCACAGCCTGTTCTCTGGACAGGGAGACTTTTCCATACATAGGTTTTGTAGGCTTGGGGTTTTTTTTTGTTTTGTTTTTAATGATAAATTTATTTTATGTGTGTCAGTGTTTTGCCTGCATGTATGTATGTGCACAGTTGTTAGCTTGCATGTAGTTGCTGGGAACTGAACCTGGACTCTCTGCAGGGCAATAAGTGATCTTAAGTGATCTTAATCACTGAGCTATCACTCCAGGCATCTTTTTTTTTTCTTTCTGTTTTTGTTGTTTGTTTTGGAAACAGGGTCTCATGTAGCCCAGACTGCCCTAGAACTCAGTATGTCACCAATGGTGAAACTGAACTCTGGATCTTGGGCCTCCATCTCCCAAGGGCTGATGTTACAGGTGTGCCCCCACCTTACCCCCCAGCTCCTACATGGGATTCGGGAGCCTGGCCACTGACCAACGTCAGCTTGCTAAGATTTAGAGTCACCATGGAAACAAAAATCTGGAGATGTCTGGGAGAGAGTCTCTGATTTGGGTTACTTGAGGTAGAAAGACCCACTCTACATGGGCAGTACCATCTCTAGGCTGGGGTTCTGGACTGAATAAAAAGGAAGAATTGAGATGGGCACCAGCGTTCACACCTCTCTGCTTCCTGACTGTGGGTGCCACGTATCCAGCTGCCTCTGGCTCCTGAGGCCATGCCTTCCTCACCATGAGGGACGGACAGACTGCACATTTGAACTTCAACCAAAATAAACCCTCCCTTAAGTTGCTTTTGTCAGATCAACTGTAAAATCACTGGAAACCCGTCTGCCTGGCTTCTAAAAGGTGAGCCTGAACTCAGGGCTCAACGCTGGGCAAGGGGCCCTGAGATTTGGAACCTTGACTGTGATTCACACCAGTACATGACCCTCTAAAGAACGAAGCTCTCTCCAACCTGTGTATCGACCCATTTGTCTATCTGTCACCACTTTCTACCTCACCCAGCTCCTGCAAGGGAGGGTCCCCCAACATTGTATATCATAGAGGACCCGAGTTCCTGGGCTACAAGGTGGCGGTCAGCCTAAGACAGCAGAGAAAGGCTGACGGAGTATTCATTCACTGGAATGAAATGGGACACAGAGGATGAGCTCTCTAAAGAGAGGGGGGAGGGAGGGAGGGAGGGAAGAAGGGAGAGAAAGAGAGGGAGGAAGAGAGAGAGAGAGAGAGAGAGAGAGAGAGAGAGAGAGGAAAGAGAGAAAGAAGGATGGAGACATCACTCAGGTGGTAACTATTTTAAACAGGGACTCAGCAACCCTGGCATCCCCAGGGGTCAGGCAGGCTCATAAATGAGAGCAGTGTGGCTATTTGCAGAGTGCAGGAAACAGCATTGAGGCAGTACACTGATCCCAGTGGGTTGCAGTGGGGTTTGGGAATACTCCTCCAACTTGCTTGGGGCTGACTAATGATGCCTCTCCATGACCACTGCAGCCCCTAATGGAACATGGGCTGGGAGGGCAGGGGCTCTGTGTCACTCCCTGTCCATAGCTGTGCCTGGCAGCTGGCACACACTCTAGCACAGGGCTGCCAGGCAAAGTAGATGGCGGTAGCCAGTCAGTCCGGAACAGGATGCTGAGTAGCAGTAGCTGCCGGCCCGATGTAGCCAGACTTTCCATCTTTAAAGAGAACCTGGAAGTGGCCATTGTGCTGAAGTCCTACTATTTTTTACTATTTTTTCCTTGTTTTATTGTTTGAAATTTCATATATGTATGACTATTTCCTGCTGCCACCTTCATCATGTACATGAAGTCTAGTTTTTAAAACCTCCAGCAAGGGAAACAATGCCTATCTGTGGACAGCCGGGAGTGAATGGGACAGAATGCTAACAAGGGCTGAACAAAACCAGAATGAGATACTGCTGGATAAAGCAAGATGGACAGTTTCACCTAGGGAAGTGGCTCTCAACCTGTAGGCTGTGACCCCTTTGAGGGAACCAAAGGGCCCTTTCACAAGGGTCACCTAAGACCATCAGAAAACATAGATGTTTGCATTTCAATTCATAACAGTAGCAAAATTAGTTATGAAGTAGCAATGAAAGTAATTCTGTGTTGGGGGGGGGGTCACCATGACATGACATGAAGAACTATATTACCTTGTTGCAAAATTAGCAAGGTTGAGAACCACTGGTCCTGGGATTTAGAGGACCTCAAAGTTGGCACTTGAGCCACCATCCCAAATCTCGGGTCTGATCTAGGACTTAGAAGAGGCAATAGTCACCCTATACCTCCAGACAAGCCGGAGGCAACTAGAGCCAGCAAGCCTCACTCTCAATGTCCTCAAGGCTTGGTGGGAAAAACTGGCTTCCTTAGCAACCATAGGGGGATGGCACACCACGGGCTGATCTCTACTGCTCACTCAGATGGGACTGGGAACAAGATGGAGGTGAAGGATAAACAACTTAAAGGGGAGAGGGAGCCATGTCAAGCCGGGAAAGCATCTTACCTCCGAGAGCAGTTTTGAGACGATTTCCAGTGGGGCCTGGTTGATGGAGTCATCCTGCAGTGGGGACGTGAGGGCCATATCCACCAGTGTCCGAATCTCCTTCAAGACAACCTCCCAGCGGCTTGGGTTACTCAGGACCTTCTTGTATTTGTAAATCTTTTTCTGGGTGGAGAGAGAGAGAGAGGAGCACATCACCGATTTAGCAAAAGACTCAAGATGATCAGAGAACCTCGCTGGCTGGGGTGAGAAGGCCCTGAGAAGTTGTCAACCTGAACTGGGCTCTTCCCCCAAAAGGAAATGGATGTATGAAGAAAGAAACAGGCTCCATCCAAGGTCAAGGGTGCGTCTGCAGACAGGCAGGCTCCGAACGCCGGAACAGCAATTTCCCACCCTGTTCCCGATGACACATAAAAAGGAATTAGGAGAGGGCTCTTTTAGATCGTGCCTTCTGCCAAACTCAGTCCCCAAGTCGCCAAGCACAGTAAGAGCGGGGATGTTCCCGGCCCACAGGAGCATGAGCAGTGTTTGTGCCTGTGCAGATCCTATGAGGTCTCTTGGCAAGTGGCATTCAGACAAAGAGTAGGATGGTCAGGATGAAGGCCAGAACTCAGCTCCAGTCAGGTGGGGACTGAGTCCAGGATGGCCCAAGGAAACCAGGTGAGGAAGACAGATGCATGCTCACCTCAGTCTGCGTAGCCTCCAAACCCGAATGCAGGGCAGGGGCTGTGGCCTCCTGGATTTGAGGCACCCGTTAGTTCCGCCTCTCTGACATCATGGAAACAGAGGCCGTGAAGGGCGGAGGTCCAAGCCAAGCGCTCCCCTCCCCATGGCTGCCTGCCTGGCTCTGCACTTCGCAGTGCTTGCTGGGACTCTCAACAGAACAAGCTTCATCATTTAGTGCTAAACTCCCTGCTCCTCGGGGAAAGCCTAATCTTAGAGGCACCGCACCCCGTGCCAATAGCCAGATGGGGTGACATGCCACAACCTCTGAGCCAAAGACTGAATGGACTAGGAAAGGGGAAAAGAGAAGGGAGGGGCCCTTACTGACTACTGAAGTTCAATCTGAAGGCCCCTGGGGTCTCCCTGTGCCATTTCTGAGTTAAGGATAACAAAATCATTTTAGGGCTTGGGCTGAAATGAAAGTATTTGGGGGGGGAGGACACATCCAAAATCCAACAGGATATGGATGGAACCAGGGTGAGGATGGTCTTTAAAAATTATTTCACCTGAAAGGCCCTAGGTCCCACATCCAAAAATTCAGATATGGGAGGTATTAGAGAAATACTTCCCAGCCTCAGTGGGACCCACACAGTCATTTTCCTTATGAAGTTACACACACACACACACACACACACACACACACACACACACACACACTCCAGACAGAACAACCAGCACAAATGGAACTCAATACTCAAACACTTACAACCCACATGAATATGAACGGTATTTACCGCCCATCCTTCCTCGTGCACACTGTGCTTTTCTGCTTGCTGGTTGCTTCCCTGCTACCACCTGCATCACAAGCATAAACTTGTTGTATCTATGAGGTGTTTTTTGTTTTGTTGAAGAACGGTGTCAAGCAACCCAGGGTGGCCTGAACTCGATATGCAGTCCAAGTTAACCTCCAACTGCTTATCTTCCTGCCTCCATCTTCCAAGTACTGGGATTACAGGTATGTGCCACCACATCCATCTCCCTGTGGCATATGTGTTTGTTTGTTTGTTTTTTAATCACCCCATACACACATCATTCCTTCTTTCTTTACTCTAGTTCTTTCATCTGACAACAGGTCCCTTCTCTGTCTCTCATCTCCCACCTCCTGGACCTCATGGCGCTATGCTGGAGCCCTAGGGTCTCCCCAGCTCTCCTTGGAGGCTGACACTGGGCTACGGAAGGGAAGACAGCACGTGTATAGCCCAGCAGGTTGGAGAGAAGCAGCAATATCTGCAGACTTCACAATCTGAGGATGGAGGAAGCGTGGCAAGTCCTGCTGGGGCCTCCAGTGACAGGTAAATTGGTTGTGCTGGTGAAGAGGGTGGCCATGAGTGTGTCCCTAACTCTGTTATTTTACTGATAAGATGTGACACCCAGGTCTACACAGGCTTCTGTGGACCTGTCACTAGCGCTTTCCTCGATGTTGCTGACTGTCTTCCCCTGAGCGCTGGACTCTGGGGATTCAATGTGTACTAGAGAACCGTGTCCTCGTCAAAAGGCCCATAAATTACTTCTTAATAGTTTCAACACTCATTAAGAATCACCAAGACAATCCATCCTCAGGTCATCCCACAGACTCAACTTGTGCACTGCGGAAGCGCCCGTAATCCTTTTGTTGGCCAGCTGCAAACTATTATGTTTGAAAGAAGAATACTTATTTCTGTAAAGATGATGTTCACTCATTAAAAAAAAAAAAAATTGAAACCACACTGAAAAGCACAAAGAGGAAGGGGGGAAAAATCCTACAACCTAGAAATAGCTGTCATTAATATATGTGGCCAGCATGGTCACAGCCAACAGCAAAACATGGCCAGCTATGGTGCCACATGTCTATAATCCAAGCACTCATTTGGGAGCCAGAGACCATGGTCTGCCATGAGATGGCTCATCCAGTAAAATGCTTGCTGGACAAGCATTCATGGTGGTATGTGCCTATAATGCCAATGCTGGAGGTGGAGATAGGAGGATCCTTTGGGGCTTGCTGGCCAGCTAACACTAGCGGGGGGGGGGGGGGAATCCAATGTTTACATAACAATTTACAATAGCAGCAAATTTACAGTTATGCAGTAACAACAAAAATAATTTTATAGTTGGGGGTGTCACCATAATATGAGAAACTGTATTAAAAGGGTCACAGCATTAGGATGGTTGAGAACTACCGTCACAGAGACAGAGGAAGGGAGCCAGAGGCAAGCAGGACTCTCTACAGTCACCTGGGCATAGCACTGACAGGCCCTCCTTAGAGCCTGAGTTTGTTATGACATCAGGGCACCTCCTTCAGAGACAGTGTTCAGACAAGGCACCAAGGCTGTGACAAAGGCTAACACTCAGTCAGCACATGACAGGTGTAGGCACACTGCTAGCTAGGCTCTGATGAGCACAGTCTGCTGTAGCTATAAAACCCTAGGAACTGGACTCTTGGTCCAGGTTAGAGCACCCTGCAAACAGACTCTCAGTTAAGAGACTTGAGTTCGAATAACATGATTGGCAAAGTGCTGACAGGAAACGTTGATTCAGAGAGTGAGAGATGGGGATGCCTTTCTCCTCGCTGGCAATCTGAAGGCAAGGCGTGCCACCAGCCAGCGGCTCCACTGGAGCCACCCATGAAAGTTGAGCCAGGGTTCTCACTACTGCTCCATCTGCTCTCAATGCCATAGTCTGATCTAGAAGGGCACAGGCTTCATAAAAGTAGACTTAAGTGACCTTGAATGGATCATTCCGGACCATCTACCCAGTGAAACAAACAGATCATGCTCGTGTCTATACATTAAAAGGGGGAAAAATTAAAAAAAAAAAAAAACCCAAAACTTTAAGGCTTTGGGGTTGGGGGAGAGCCAGTAAATGGGGCACCTTCTACCCTGATGGCACCTGGCAATGCTGTCTATGTGGGTAGCAGAAATTGATTCCTGCTAGGGGCTCTCAAACACAGGCAGGCTTGCCTGCAATTCAGGGAGCAGGGGCCATGGGCCCACATGTTCCCTTTAGCCTAACACTTATGTCTTTCTGGAGCCTAAACAAGATAGTCTCAGGGCCACAATCATTCAGGTATGGCCATGGTAACCATGGCGAGCAGCCTGCAAAAGCAGCTGATGCTGGGAGTAGGGCAGAGTGGCCATAGCATCTGCTGTAGGGCTGTTGGAATCCTTATTCATAAGTCTGTCACAGCCAGGAGGGAGAAGTAACCAGGCTAAAGCCAAGCAGCCATAAAGACTCAAATTGGCACATGAGTCAAAACTGGCTGGAGAGCCTCTAAAGGTCTCACTCTTTCCATCACAGCCATTTGGGACCAGTGGTGTCAAGGGGAGAGGAAGGATGGGGTCAGCCAAGAGACACTGAAGAAGGTGTCGAGGATGCTTGGTGGCAGGGGAGGGTCAGGAATAAACCCACAAACTGGACATAGGTGACCAGTGAATGAGAAAGAAGTATGAGAGGGGGTGGCAGGAGCAGTAGGTAGGAGGTCCTGATGCTGCAGACAGGGAGTGGGTGGGGCAGACCATCCAGGGTTCCAGGTCCTTAACCACACCCCAGGTGACATGTTAGAATCATCCCTCTGATGAGCTCAGCAGGCAGTGAGTCATGGTGGGGCTGGGATGAGGCCATTCTGGAATCCTAGCTCCCTAGAGGTAATATTGTCTTCCTAATGAGTCTGCTCTGCCAGGAGCCATGAGTGGGGGAGAGTGGGGCAGGGGTCCTGAAGCTTTCTTATGGCTGATGCGATAAGGCTTGACAACACGAGCCCATGTTCAAACCCAGACTTGGCTGCATACAATCACACACACACACACACACACACACACACACACACACACACACACACACACACACACACACAGGCCCTATGGGTTTTTCTAAGAGTTGTAAAATTCAAAGCAAACAGAATATGCTACAGAACTTGAGTGTGGCCCTCAGAGCCCCCAAGAGCTGCCATCTGGCCCTTCATCAACAGTGTTCTGCCAAGCCCTGGCTCATGAGTCAGATTCCAGTTTGGGAGTAGAGACAAGAAAAGATGCTCACTGCTGGCTATAGTAGCAAACAACACACCTGCCATAGTAGCACTGTGGGGAGGGGGAGGCCGGAGGAGCAGGAACTCAAGGTCATCTTCAGCTATGTAAGAGTTCAAGCCCAGCATGAACTATGGACTACTTGAGATTGCATGCCACAACAAAAAAGCAAAGCAAACAAAACAGAGGAAGAAAAGATACTCGCCATTATAAGCTACTGGGGAAATCCACATTACAGTGGTACAGAGACACCATTTCATGCCCACTAAGATGACTATCATGGGAGACACAGACAATGCCAAATGTTGGCAAGGATGATGTCAAACCAATCCTTGTGCATTCGTTACTCTTGTGAAGTAAAAATGGCGGCCACAAGGCAAAATCGTTCAACAGTCCCTGCCTCCTGCCCTGTTGAGCTGGGGATCAAACCCAGGATCTCGCTCG